CATATGACATTATTTACAATTATCTAAAAGCTGAACTCTTAGAGGACATATTTTCCTTTGTTTTCAATATAAATAGTTAATTTATTGTTGGTGTTGCACCCAACCACTTCTACTAAAGGAGAAGATAGACTAACTTGCAGCTCACACCACACAGATTCTCAAAGATTGAGAGCAACCATATCTGGACCTCTGTATTTCCACCAGCAAAGACATGGCATCAACTCTATTGCGTGGTCATGTATAAAAGCAATAGAAAACTTTTCAGGGACAAGTAAATGAGTTGTGTTTTTATATTATACTTGTTTGTCCAGACTTTCAAGCGCTACCTTGAGCTAATGCCCATGTCACCCATAATTACTATTACATCTGGATTGTCTCATTCATTTTTGATTGAACAATGAATTATAAAACAAGTGAAATTATTAAAAAAGCATATAAAAGTTGAAAAAAGCAGCTGTTACAGCAAACACCTTATGAATGAGCTAAATGTTATAACGGGAGATTTATTCATACAAAAACGATTAATCAAATGCTCCTCCTGGATTGCATAAGGATTTCTTATGTAAGTGGAGCTGTTTTCTCACCTCAAAACTGAACGAAAGCCGTTGCTGGAACCGATTGGTCATCTTGTCTTTAGAACAGTGACTCAGTCCCTTCTCAGCACCGTTTGTTGCAGCCTCTAATTTTTCATCACTGCCTTTTTTCCCTTTTGTGTTGTTTGCACAGTCAGTCTCTAAGCACTGCTGTCATACTCTAAATCAGCCATTGTTCTGAAGCCACTGATTGGGCCTTGCAGTCGTCCGTGTTCTGCTAATTACTGCGATATTGTTCTACATACCGTCGATGTGATTTGGTCTTTAGGTGGCAACTGTGTCAAGTTTCCTCAGGAGTGGCAGCAGAGAGCATTGTTAGCTATTTATAGCAAGTCAAGGTGGATGGTTGTGAACAAACAACTTTCTCAGGTTTTTGACCTTTAGTCTAAAATTACCCACTGTTTTAGGCTATCCTTCAGTGTAGTTTGAAACTATAGCTTATAAGGATAACAGACTCAGGATCACTTATTTCTTTTTTCTACTGCTTTGTTACCGTCCTGGAAAGATGGAGGAAAATACAGCAGCAAAGAAATCTGTTGAATTCATTTTAATACATTTTAAACTCCTACTTATGTGTGGGCAAACACGACAGCAAAGAGCTGTGGTCTCAGTTCTCCATCTGTGCACATTCGCGGTCTGAAGCCACACATCAGTGAGTTTGTTGCTTCTGTAGCCAAATCGGAGTCACTGTGCTTCCTTAAAATCCCCGTTTCCAGGAGGTGCCACATGTGGTCAGTTCATGTGCAAACATTTTCACCACAGTTTTTATTTTTTTGGGGCTTAATCCGAAATGAGCCAAAGCCATGTTGAAAACTGAAGGATGTCACTGTGGTCTCTTGCGACCTCAAAGCAGTCGAGCAGCTGAAAATGATTCCAGCACTCACTCCTGACCCCTCCTGAATCTCTTCACATTGCCTCCTCTGCTTTTCCCCCTCTCATCTGGCTGAGTCATTCTCCTAATGGACACAAGTTTAGAAATTTTCCTCATTTCTTTTAAAACTCTACTTAATTTGTTAAGTAGAGTTCAGCTTTTGTCCAGTTTCTTCTTGTGCATGTGAATCATGACAGATGACTACCTCTTACTATTCTTTTAACTCAACTGTACAAAAGTGGTACATTGGGTGCATGAAATGTAAGTTATGCTAAGCAACAGACATAATTCGATTAGAATCTGATTCTACTGTTGTAATCACTTATTGTTTCATTCATAATCAAATTCTGTTTCTGAATCAGCGTTTTCCCCTCGGTACTCTGCCTAGCATGAGATGTATCATGTACAACATCATGTGAAATGCGCTGCGAGGAAGAAAAAACATCCTCCTTGTGTCAGTCAGTCAGTCCAGTGCCATCTCTTCTCATATCCTGAAACCAGGCATGCATGGGTGGAGTGAAAGGGCTGCCACATAATTTAGAGAAAGCCTGGGAAACTCCAGCAGAGATTTTGCTAATTTAGTTGCAGGGAACCACGTATTATACACTTTTTAAGATAATAACCCCACCTCGAATGGAAAGTTAGATTTTGTTTACATTATTGAAAAACTGAGGAAGAAATGGTGCTGTATGGTTCCATGTAATGTATTTCTAGAGCTACCATGCTCATTAAAGTTTTATTTTAATGAAAGCTTATTTTTGGATCTGGTAATAGATACAAAAATACCACACATTTAATGTTTTATGACAAACTTTAAAGCAACCACTCATTTCTTTATCTGAACTGCTATATTACAGCAGTATAATTTGTACTATCCTAAAGCTCCTCTTTTCTATGTCCTTGTTGCAGGAGCCTATTTCCATTCAGATCTACAGTTCTAAATAATGACAGGCCACCACCAGGTAACTGAGTGGCCGGCATAGTTAACTGGGTGTTGAGCATGCTGGTTACTACTCTCCAATGATAACACAATTATGTAGTCCCCTACTTATTTCCACTGCTCAGTTACCTGTGCAGGCCTGTCATTATTCAGATCAGTTGGCTTCGGAGTGGATATTCTCTCCTACGACAAGTATGTAGCCACTGCTGATGTGCAACAGTCTAAATTTTGGCACTAATACAGTGCTGTAGTATCTTGCTTCATATGTTGATGTATCTAAAAATGAAATCTATATGGGTTCATGTGAAGAAATTAAGCACTGTTGTGCATATTGGGGTGAAAGATGAACAATCCACAGTGTACTATAAAGCAAGTTAATTTTTGGCATGGTGTTATCCTTATCGATTACTTTATTTAGCTGAAAGTTCAATTCTCTGCATAGATGTAGTGAGCGCCCCCAGTCAGAGTAACTTACTCAAGGCAAGGCCAAATTCCCACTATATGTCAGTCACTCCAAGCTTTCAGCATGCCGACGTGAGGGAATCTTCACCAGTGCAGACAAAGCATCTTCACAGAGTAACAAGATATTAAGTTCAAGGTTCTTTATTTGAGTACATGAAATCTTCAGACCAGTCACATTTGAACTTTTGTGCAAAGTTCGATGAGTCAACACTTAAATGGAAAACCCCCCAAAAAACCAGACAGCGTGGAGCAAATTAATAATTTAAAAGTTCCTTCTGTAATGTTCCCCAGAAAAGGAGTCAAATTATCTTTTATTTTTTAAGATAAAGACTATTTCTCTGCTGAGAAATAGTCCTCAGGCCTCTGAGTGGTGAGGTGTTAAGACAATATGTGTGTTTGATTGTGGTCTCTTGTTTTTTTGTGAATGTTAGAAACTTCTAAGCGACAAAGGTGTTAAGACTGAAAGGAAAAATTTTAATATATTACTCAGAACTTGGTTGAGTAATTGTAAACTGTGACTACATTTTCTCGGACTGAGTTCGAGTAAGTAAGTCAGTAAGCAGCCCCTGCGTGTAAGCAGCGTCTGACCTGACAGGCTGAAAAAGTATTTGACTGATCTATTTATGAACTGAAACTGTGCACAAGCCCCGAAGTGAGGCCTTAGAGTAAAGTGCATAAGGAAAATATTTTATGAAGTCTCTCATTTACATCCACAGTGTTTGCCAGCTGACTTAATTATAATCTAGTATAACTATTTTTTATGAGTTTTTTTTTCCTCCAAGTTGCAAAATCTCTGCTGCAGCCTCGGTTTGATTCAAAAACAACTCTTAAACATAAAGGGTATACTTTGGCTCTGCTGAGAAACATGCCATTCTCAGTTTTTTTAGTGCAGCTAGAAGTGAAACATGTCACAACAGCATGGCTGCTTTGACAAGAAGTTTCACTTAAGACCTATGAAGCAACGGTACCTCAAGTAGGAAGTTCAACCTGCTGAATTATGTTTTAGCTCCTCCCTATGTGCCTGCAGCTTGTTTCATTTCATGTTCTGGGCTTTCACTACAGTATTACATAGTAAGCAGGATGCAGAAAAATGACAGTAATGTTCATCACTGTCAGTTGTGTTTTTATTGGGATTTTACTTGGTAAGGTAGGACAAAATTGTGAAGGAAAAAAAACACTTCTAAAATAAAACGCTGAAATGTTTGGTGTGCTGTATTCAGTCCCCTTTTTGTTGTAATTTCTCCACATCTGGGTTTTAGCATTTTGTCGACTAAACATATACATCTGCTGTGCAAATGAAGGGGACTCCAAATGGCCAAAAATAAGGATGACATTCAGAGGACTAAAGTGTGGCACTTGAATTACAAGATCTGACCAAGTTTGCATTCAAGTTACCCTTTGCAATATTGCAAACTCTGACATCGTGATTCCTCTTGCAGTTTGAAGTAGCATGTGGCGCTTCCATTCATCATACTTGTGATGAAACGTGGTAGTGGCAGAATCATAAAGGGATAATTTTCTTCAACACAAAAAGGTGAACTAGTCTGAGTTGATGGAAAGCGCCTACAAAAAACTTGAGAAAGGGGGAAAGGTTAAATGTCAAGCAGCAAATCAGCATTAAATATACAATCTATAACAGAATATCAGTGTGTTAGAGTGGCCCAGTCAAAGTATAGATCAAAAAGGTAAAGTCTAGACCAAGATCCAAATGAGAATTTGGAAAATGGATGTCCACAAATGCCAACACCCCAAAAGACAAGCAGCTCTGAGCACAGCAAAGAAGTGGTTCTGCAAAGTGTTAACTTGGGAAGCCTACATACATTTCAAGTAGTTTGTGGTTGTAGGTGTTGTTGCAGTTCATTGATATTGGGTTAATATTAAAGTTCAAAGTTCCCTTCATTCCTAGGAATATATTTTATAAGAATTAAAGAGCCTTATCCGTACAAAAAGGAACAAAAACAGCTCAGGGGGAACAATGGCTAATGTGTGTGCAGGCTGGCCTGGTAGGCTTAATCCACAGAGCAGCCTAATGGGTGTTAAAGGTACAAGGGAGGTACAGTAATCAGATTAATAACAGGGTCATTTAATCAAGTTCTCTACTAGTTCTTTCTCTCACTGTTTTTTACCTCGGCATGGTGAGCTTCTGTTCAGCCTCGTGAGATAAAAATATTCTTATTTTAATACCTTACTTTGACTAACTTTAACGCTACAGTTTAATGGAAATCAAACCAATCAAGATTTTTAGATTCTGCCGAAACCAGCTTTTCGCTTGAGATGGATTAACTTCGTCCAGGACGTTCGATTTTTGCGCTCTCCTTGCAAGAAAACCCCGTGCCATGTTGCGAAGAAGAAGCCAGTTTTTTGTGCTCATTGACAATGCTCTTTCTGTGAAAGCGGAAAAAGAAGAGGAGCGAAAGGAAGAGGAGCCCGCAGCGAGCGCTTTTGAGGAGTATCTGCAGACGCTCCTCCAGTTGAAGGCAACCAGTGCTGTAAGTGAGCGGAGGAGTGAGGAAGTTCTCATTTCAGACATATAGACTGCGCTCAAAGCTACTGTGGGTCTTCCAACTGAATCAATCTGATGTCTGTGGAGTTTTAATACCCCTTAGCTGGAACACTTTTAAGTAAATGTAGCTACTAATCGCAGCAGCAAAGATGCCTGTTGAATTGATTTTGATACATTTTAAACTCCTACTTATGTGTGGGCAAACACGACAGCAAAGAGCTGTGGTCTCAGTTCTCCATCTGACGTCCAAGGCGCCGACTTGGACGTCACGTCTCTCTGTGCTGCATAGGTAGGACGTTTGAAAGACACACAGGAAGTGTTACATGTACCAATGGAAGCTGCTCTTATGGTTTCTGACAAGCGGAGGTGTTGCTTCTATAAATACTTTGATAGCGTTCCGACATGAGATGTCCTCTCTGGACAAACCAGCTGCTCAGTCATGTGTGATCATTGGCCTCCAAATGTGTGTCATCTTGTCCTATTTTTCATTCAACTTTGCAAAAGGAAGTGCATTGCAGTCTAAAAACATACATTTTTGCCGTCTTTTTTTGTCATTAGTTTAGGAACACATTTGGAGTTTTATTTGGACTCAAAGCTTCAGAATTTAAGTGCGATAAAGTACCACATGTAAATCATGCAGCCGGTTCAGATGGTTTAGATCAGTAAAACAGCTAAATGTAGCTTTGCTAGATATAAGAGAGAGCTTTTAAATAATGATTTCATTTATTATTATTAAGAAAAGCTGCTTTAAACAACTTGGTCTTGTGTTGTTGCCAACTGTTGCAACAATTATGAAGTGTTTATATCTGAGGAAAAGTCTTTTCTTTCTCTTTTGGCTCAGTCTTCTTTGCAGAATTGTTTTAATTCAGTCAAATTGGAGAGTTTTTAAACAAGAATACTGACATTCTGAATGAACTAATCTTGGACTAATTTTAACAACCAGTTCTATCTTTTCCATTTATAGACAATGGCTTTCAGTGTGGGGTTCTGGAGTTTTACAAATGGTCTTGTAGTTTAATCCATATGGACAAATGACAATCACTTTGACTTCGCAACCATTTCTGTATTTTTCTTTTAGTTTTATTCTGTTTCTACAAATGTGGCAAATACATATATTCCACATACATGTATTATATGTAGTTTAATATTTTTACATAAAAAGTCAGTATCAATGATACAAAACAGATAAATAGAAGAAATCTTTAAGAGGAAAAAACCTTTTCTGATTTTCAGGGATTGACCATAAATAATAACAACAGATCGTAAGCCTCTAATAAGCGATATTAAAATTATCCATACCCTTAATTATTAGAATTTTACAAATAAATTCATGAACATGATGAGAAAATGTTTCTCAAGACTTTTTTATTTGTGCCTGATCATATTTCTTTGCATTTCTGTATTAAAAAAGCCATAATTTCTGCTGAGGTCACAGGACCAACCTCTTAACCAGAACTAAAATATCAGATGACATTTGCTGTGGACACTCATATGATCATCATCTGTTTTTATTTGTGCAAGTTTGCATCTTTTCCTGTGAATCCTCTCTGATACTGTTGCTGTACAGGGCCGCAGATGCTTTGTTTCAGACCCCGCTTTCTCGGACAAAGCTCGGTGTGTGTTCAAGAGGGGGCTTGGCATCTCCGTTAAATATTTGTTCTTGCTGCAAGACGCCCACCATCATGAAGCCCTGTGACCGCCTGCAGCAATCGGCTCATGTATGGCGAGCGGTACTGGTCGAGCAGACACAGCCTCGCTTTGAGTCCGTGAAGTGTGCGGTCAGGTCCGCTCTGTTGGTTCCTCCGTGTTCTTTGAGGTTATGAATAATTAGTGAAAGGACAAGTCCAGATTTTCCAACATTTTGTGTACTTTTTTTTCCCCACCAATGCCAGGAGGGCTTTTGCTGGAACAATTCAGCCGTTTGTTGGTTATTTTAATTGGTTGGACTCTCACAGCCCACTGAACAGATCTGGATGGCTGCTGTTTCTTTCTGTTCATTCTTATTACCTCTGCAGGTTTGGATTTATCAGCTAATGAGACTAAGTGACATATAAAGAATCAAACCTTTCGCACTACAGGGTCTTCCAAAACTCCTTTACCACATTACAATTCAAACTTGTATTGGTATGTTTTGCAATGGACTTAATTTGTGAAGGAAAATTATAGTTTTCATAGTTTTGTGTGAACAGAGTGTCTGAACATCCTTAAAAAAAATCTTAAATTAAGGGCCTAATTCATTTAAAAATGGAAGTTGGCCTTTAACATGTTGACCACAGGTCTTGAATTTTGTCTTGTCAGAACTGTTTCATATTGTCTATTCAGTGCATTTCATTTTCTTTCTTACGGGTCTTTTCTGTCAGTCGCACTCAGACATTTTCATTGCGTTCTGCGACCCGAGACAGTTTTGGTTACCAGTAACTCACTGCTCACATATCTTATCTAGCCGACTAGCTTGATAACTTTTTTGCGTCCATCTTGGGTAACTGCAAATTTATTCACCATTTGACTGGACAAAGTTTGCAGATTTATGTGGAGATAAATGTCTTAAATTCCCTTCATTGTGGTCTTTAAAAGTCTTACGTTTGAATGGGTGAAGCCTGGAGAAACCTGTAACCTCCACTTATATTCAGCCCTCCTGAAACAATAGTTTGTAGGAAACCAAGCCCTCCAGGATATTTCCCTTGCAAAATAGCTCAAGCTTAGTCAGATTGGTAGAACTTTGTATTTAAACATTACCTGTCAAGCATTGCCACAGATAGCTTAGATTTAGTTTTAGTTAGCAGTGTTTTTCAGCATGACTAACACAAACCCACCTACCAGTCTTTACTCTCCAGTCAATATGCTGAACAAATGAAAAAGAAAAAAAGGCTTCTTTTCTCATTGTTCTCCATCCAACTGAACATCTGTCTTCTCAAGCCCGCTGATCCCAGCGTTGTGTTTCTCTTTTCGCCCACTGACAGGAAGGGAAAAGTACTGAAGTCTCCACCATTCTCCTTCATAATATTCATCTAAAGTATCCTCCATGTTTCCCTTCCAGGTTCAGATCTGTTTATTTGGACTTTTCTTTCCCTATATGACTTTCGCAGCTCGAGGTCAGAAAACTGCAACATTATATTTGCGACCAACTTGCTAATTAATGAAATACTGCTTCGGTACATTTGCCTCTTCTCCAGTGTGCTAGTTTGCAATTTCCTGTTTGCGTTGTCAGTTTTCTACATTTTGTTAGCCAACAAGCAGCTCTGTTTCCCCCTCCTTTCTTGTCTTTTTAATAGCGTATTGATTTCAGCTGTGACCATCAGAGCAGCAAGGCGCCCTACGTGGAGCTGGCTATAACCTGTTAAATGAAGATGTCCCCAGAAATGTTTGCACCGGGAGTTTAAAATCAGTACATTTCTTTTACCATTATGCTGTAAATTCACTCTATTCCCTTTTATGATGTGGCGCAAGAGGGCCTTTACTGGCTCTATTTTCTTTCCATTTTTTTTCCATCAGCTTTGTTTTAGGATTTATAAAAAGAAATATCTAATATTAGATTAAATTTTTATGCGGATTTTTTTAAATGTTCAATTTGCAGTGAGACTCAGACATTTCTTTAAAAGTTGTCAGTATTTTTTGAGGTCTTTTATGTAAATATTTACATTTGAGGGTTTTTGTTTGACGACTTTACTCTCTACTGCCATGTGTGTTAGATAAGGGAATTACGACCACTGCGGGATTATTTCTACATTACACATCACTTTTTTCCTGTTAATAAATGAAGTAAACATGAAGGCTTATCTTTATATCCACCCTTAGATGAAGTTTTCATTACAAACCATACACTGAGCAGACTCACACACACTCACACGCACGCATGCATTCACACACTCTTTATGAGTTCTGTGTCTGTGCTGGACACTAATAAAGTTTCTCCTTATCCCCTTATGGCTGTGATTGTATAATTTGGACTGAACAGATTGCTAAATAATGTGCATTAGTTTAGATTAACCACTAGTCCGATGTTAACCTGCACCATAATCCCCAGCTCTCTGCTTAGGAGGGATTTTGCAGGGTCAGAAGACTGTTCCTATAAAACAAACATGCACTTGTTTTCATTTATTACCACCAATGGGGAATCTATGTATTCAGGAACTGATCAAATATCTTCTATTTTTGTCCCTTTTTTCTAATTTCCTGCATGCTGCTAAGTACTTGTTAGTCGCAAAGTTCTATTTATTTTCAGTTTATGTTCTACAACAATAGTTTGCGAAACACAGTGAGTTGGGGCTGTGGCCTGAAATAACAAGCTGAATGGTTCTGGAAGGGATCTCCTACATTGTTTATTCCTTGATCTGGGAACAAGCTTAGGCGTCAGAGGCTGGCAGATGAAAGAATGGAAGCAGGTAAAGGTCAGGACAGGGATTTATTAAGAGAGAAGGAAGAAAATTCCCTAGTTTCTGTGTGCAGGTTTAACCCTAATGCAGCCAACCATGACAGAGTTGGTAATAGTGTATAATTTGCATGCATGGTCCACGAGTGAACTTTGAGTAAAAGAGAAGTGTGTTCATTTTGCATTTGTAGTCAAAATATTTTTAACCACACACATCATTGGGACACTAGTGCTTTACATTTTCAGCTGGGGGATGCAGGTTTAAAAATAATAAAACAGAAATGTCACCCTATTATTTAAAGTAATAGTGGGACATAAAGTAATAGCAAGTTTGTAAGCAGTTAATATCTGATCTTTTACATATATACAGTTTGTAATGTAAACTAGTGGTTAATCTAAGGGTTTATATGTATATAAACCAATCAGTTTTTTTTTTTTTTTATTTTTTTCAGTTTAATGAAGATCTTATCAAGGTTAAAGACATATGTATTGTGGTATACCTGAGGATAATCATTTTTTTCTTGTGCTACATTAATTGAAACAAAACAATCAAATCTGGTGAAAATTAGAAAGAACAGGTTAGACAAAAAACACTACTTGCTGATTAAAGAGTGGTTGGTTATTTTATTCATTTTTTGTTATAATGTTATAATCATATGACCTGGAAATTCATTATATTGACAACAACGAAGCTTTTACATATATATAATGAAGGAAAACTTGATAATGCTCTCATGCTATCCTTGGCACTTTTTTTTTTATAGATTTTTGTTATTAGATCTGCTCCATCTGGTCATGGAGAGGTGATAGGCTTTGGATGGGTTTAAATACTTTACTGGCTGGAATGGCAGGAGTTTGATGTGATAAGGAGGGAGGCTGTAACAGTATACGCCACAATCACTTCTTATAATGTGTGTGTTTTCTTAACAGTCGCCTGCCTGAGAATCATAAATTATTAATCTGATGTTTCTAGCGCAGCTTGGAAATTGCGCCACTGATGGCTTTTCCATTTTACTCCAGCAAGAGCATCACCTCCCAGTGACTCATCACAACCTGAACAAGAAGCTTTGCACAATTGTTTTCTTTTTTTTTTTGGTTTGCTGTATAGTTTATTCAATTTTCACACTTTGGAGAGGTTTGCAAACTCAAAGAGGCTCCTGACCCCAACCATATGTAATCTCCTATTGAGTAATCCCGCCTCTTGTGTCATTCCGAGTCCTTTCAAGCTCCCTCCCTTTGTTTTGCTTCTCTCTCTCTCTCTCTCTCTCTTCCTCTCTGTCCTCTTCTCTCATCCCACTTATTCCACCTTACGCCTGATGGAGCATTAAGCCTGAACGCTACTGGCAGCCAGGGACTCATATTCATTCGGTTGTTGAGTGAACCAGCCAGGCTTTGGATCTTTCCCTTCACTCCCGTTTTTTTTTTTTTTTTTTCCTTTTACTCCTTCCAGAAAATCGGGAATTATTTGAACCGGCTCCTTTTTTACTGTGTGTGGAAGGTTGCAGGGTGGGGAGGGAGTCAGGAGACTTTGTTCCCAACCTCGGCACGCTCCTGCTGATCTGCACTTGCTCCCACTTGGGATACCCAGACAAAGGTCCCGCGGATGACCTCTCCAAACTAACTTTAGCTTTTCACCTCATTCACTCGGAGGGTGGTGAATTGAATGGGCATTTTCCAGAGTTTGGATGTTTCCACGCTGAGAGCCACCGGATAAGATGGTGCCCCTGCAGAAAAGGGTAATCTGAGAAATGTGTGTGGAGGAGGAGAGGAGGTCTTTATCGTGCATGATTTAGCTGCTCTGACGTGGGCTGCAAGTTGTCTTTTATTTTGTTCTGAATACTCTCTTTGTGGTTGAGATAAAGTAAATTAAGTTTTGATACTTCACTTGGAGCAAACTTCAAAGAAAGCATTTGGGGATTTAGAAGAAGCATAAACACAAATTCCAAAGGAAGATTCTTCACCCAAAGCAGAGAAAGTCTTATTGTTTGGGTTTTATCCATTGATTTTTCTGGCTGTTGATGAGGGATTTCTCATTGAAATAAGCTGACAATGCAGTCTGGATCCCCTCCCCCCCACTTCTCATTCTATTGTTTTCTTTGAGTGCTTCAATTGAGAGTTGCTCCTTCAGTTTGAGGGTTTTCATTCAGGAGTGTTGAAGTGACTTTATCACACCTCATGTGATGAGATTTTACTGCAGTAAAGCGATGAAACTTTACCGTTCTGCACAAATCTAGGTGTTATTAAAAAAACATTTGGCTTTCCTCTACGACTACCTGACTTTGCTTCACAGAGCTGCAGACTGAAGCACACCTCTTCATCTTTTTCTTCACCACAACCACTTCCTGTGTCACTTATGCTTTCAGTGCCGGATGCTTGGAGCACTGCTGTATCATTCTGCACGGTCTGCTTAAAAATCACATAGGTTTTTCTTTTTTTTTCTGGTGCTGACATCTTCTAAGATTCTCCCCTTATTAGTTGGATGTAAAGAAGACTAAAGACATGGTGGAGGAGAGGATGGGAGACTGTTGGAGCCACACCAAGGTTGCATTTTATGTTTTTTTTTTTGCTTAGATTGGGTAATATTGTCTGGATTTAGATGTGTCGTATGTGTGCTGATTTGCCAGATGAATTATTCGCTCTCTTTCCTGATGTGACAGCTTTGCCGACGTGACCTTGGCCAAGTCAAGGCTCATACTTTCCCCCACAAGTCTTGAATAATGACTTCAGACTGAGCAGCTGTGTTTGGTTATCAGACTGCTGGGGAATGGATTTACTACGAGGCACTGGAACATCCCACACTTTTTAAATCATATTTGGATCTGAAGGAGAAGTCGCTGGTGAAACTGGTAGCGCTGATTAATTGCTTAAGGAGAGAGACGAGTGTCATGTTTCTGGTGAGACGCCTCTCACTGGGGAATGCGTTGTGCAGATGTGAACGAAAAGGTCACCCCATGCATATGGGGGTTTTACCTCAAACTCCATTCTAAAAGTAATGCTAGTATTTAAATATCCTCAATATGTTCATCTAAAGAAGGTGTAGATTTGTCCTTAGGTAACCTCTTAGATGATTAAAGCAGTTTGAAGAGCTCCATAGGTCAAGACGGAAGGCTAGCTTTGGCTGTTTCCGATTTCTATCATTATCAGCATATAACAGCCCTTCATCACCTTTCTTTTTTAAGTAGTCGCTATTTATTTTAAGGGAAGCGAGGCGACACACTGTGTGTGGTGCATGTGACAGAGAGCATTCGCTGTAAAATAAGGTTATACTGTTTTAAATTAAAGGCTAAATGATTTTTGAAACTAGCATTACTAACTGCTGTCTCCATGTGCCTTCCCTTGAGAATGCCAATGCATAACTCTAAAATTGACATAAGGTTGTCAGTCTATAAGAACAACACACTGCTCACAACAAACAGCACTGGGAGTTCAATGACTTGGCTGAAAAAGATTGTGGTCACAGTAATACCGGCGGTACAGCTGAAAATGATCAACAGCTGATTTTGTGGCGCATTTCTGTTCTTCACTCAATAAAATGTTTGATGCAACCTAATTATTTTCGCCTCTTGTTCTCTACAGGATCAGTTTGAAAACTTGGAGAAGCACACGCAGTGGGGAATCGAGTTTGTGGAGAAGTACAACAAATTTGTGAAGGAGCGATCGGAGATCGAAATCAACTATGCAAAGCAAATTAGGTGAGTGCTTTAGCTGACCCGTATTTGATGTTGCTGCACTTCATATTATGTGGAGAATCTGAATGTCGCATTTTGAAAACACACTTCTGATCCAGTTTTGTTATTTCTATCGTGCTCAAATTGTCAAACTTTAAATAAGGCTGGATGGCATCAAGCAGGGTGTGTTGTTTTTTTTTCCTTTTTCACCGGAGTTTTATCTTGCATTACCACATCACTTGTGATTACTTTAGAGCAGGGATGGGCAATCCTGGTCCTCGAGGGCCAGTGTCCTGCAACTCTTGGACGTCTCCCTGGTTCAACACAGCTGAATCAAATCGCTGAATCACTTCCTAAATGCAGTCAAGTTCTCCAGAGTCCTGCTAATAACTTCATTATTTGACCGAGGCCTGGAGTTGCCCAACCTCTGCTTTAGAGGGAATAGCAGCATTTACTTTCTGTCTTATTCGTGTCAACATGGTGTTTCAACAGATTAAGTTGATCCCTGTATCAGGTCTGATGAGATGCCTCTGAATTTGGGGCCAGTAACATTGACCTGCAGCTGGCTTTCTCCTTTCCCCTTTAATGAGAGGCAATGTGAGCGTCACATGAAGTTTAAGTTTCATTTGAAAAAGTTAATGGACATTTCAGTGGTTGCCTTGCTTGGCAGATGAAATCATTTAGGCATAGAATAGATCTGATGAGTCAATCTTCTTTTTAAGAAAAGCACTCACTTTGCTAAGTAAGCTCATTAGCTACGAAGTAAGCTAATTGGCCTTAAAAAAAATAAAAGGCATGGTCTGTTTCCTCAAACTAAATCAAAAGTGTTCCAATATGCAAAGAAATAAAAAAAATGTAAGTACTTAATTTTTGTCTGAAGTGCATCTGTATGGCAAAGTAGCACATTTCCATGCAACCCCAATGTCTGGTTTCAGCCAGTGAAATAAGTCAAAGTGGACGTCCGCTCGACTCCTCTCTCCATCCTTTTCCGTATAGCTGTTTCTCTGTCTGCCTCGTTCCTCCTTGCATGTGAAGCTGTGTGTTTTTGTCACTGGTCTGAGCTGCAGGCAGAAAGGAAGTCAGGTTGTGATGGGTTATGGGGGCGGGGCCTGTGTTTCCATAGAGATGACAAGGTACCAGCATTATCAACCCCAGGTCTGACCCAGATATTTTTTTTATTCCACCAACCACATGTGTCGGCTCCTCCTCCTCCTCCTCTCACACACTGTGTTGTGATACAGTCGCTGATTTTCAAAGGCAGTTTTTGGAGCAGAGAGGATCTGTCTCCTCAGGCCTCCTGCCGCTCATCAGTCAGCAACAGAAGATATTCCCCCAAAACCGCATCTTCGTCCTGCCTCACCCTCCAAAGAGGATGGTTAATACGGCTAATGCCCTAAATATTCTGTAACTGTCCTGTTTCAGAACGAATAACTAATATTGTGACCGGATTCATATAAAGATTGCTTCATTAAACAATAGATGATTGTAGAGGCTGTCAGTTTTTAGATGCATTGTTTAAGCTCATATATCGCTCTGTAACTTTCCGCAATCAGATTGTTTTTCATAGAATTTCAGTATTTGGTTGTCTTTAGGATTTAGTTATTGCTGTAAATCTGTTAGAACATCTACATTTTAAAGAGCATTTGTTGATTTCTAATACAGAAACATGATGTTCTCATATGATTAGAGTTCCTCGCAAAAAATAGTTACACTTATTTTTCACATATTCTCACAACCTCAATAGATCTTATAGGCCAGTACAAAGTAGGATGTAACTGTGAAGTGGAACAAGAATTGTACGGGATATGGGCTAAAGGCTTTTCACATCTAAAGATCATTTTTGTTTCTATTTATTAACCTTTGCAAATGTTCACAGACTCTCCAGTGGACTCTCTCTGACTGGGTCATTCTTAAATATGCTATGATCATGATCCTTGTAGCTCTGGCTGCAAGTTTAGGGCCAGTGTGATTCAGAAAGGGAATCTCCTCCCCAGTCTGCAGCCTATGACAAGTTTTTCTAATTGCACTGACTGAACAAATTAAAGTTGTTTTTACATGTTACATGTTGTCAGATACATTTAGAAGAAACATTTTAAGTCAATTCTGGACTGTTTTCCTGTATAGGACTGAGTCGGTCGATACCAAACCTCAGATATCGGTATCGGAAGTGAAAAAAAAACAACCCAGAATCGGTGAATCCCTACTGCTTTGTGTTGGCCTTTGAAATAAATTCTTAATAACAATCACAATTGTTGGCTGTAATGTGAACAAATGAACAGAAATGAACACTATGTGTCGCAACAAAACCACACATTTATGCGGTTCAGATAGCAGCTGCATGTTTGAGCAAACATAGATGGGACATAATTCAATCAGTCAACATGTGCTGCAGCATGTTGAGCTCATCTCACCGTTGTAGGTTTATTAAACTTGCTCCACAAATGGAGCTGATGTTTTCGCCCCTTCGTGCTAACACAAAGAGGCCTGCTGCCTAACCGTGTCTGGTATTAAGCGTGTTCTCGCATAAACACACGCTATAGGATGAGGCTGTCACCAGGAATACTTTGGACGGAGACGGTGGACAGCTTGAGACAGAGTTTCCAGGTGCGCTCAACACATTGTCTCTCGTCTTCTGGCGCCGCTTCACCATACCTAAGAACTAATCATCCCTTATAATCAACTTAGCTTGAGAGATCTTGTTTAATCTATCGGCCACACTCGCTCCAAAAGACACACAGGACTCTTAGATCTAATAAACTAATGGAGCTGGGCCTTTAGACAGACCAGTTTGTCTGTGTCGTTGGGCAGATTTTTTCTTGACTCAGAGGTGAACTTTGTTTCCACATTCTGGCACATTTCCATATGAGCTACATAATATTTGTATTATATGAATATTTAGACATACTTGTGCAAAGTTAGTGAGCTACTTATCTCACTAAGTCAGAAAGTAGCTAAAACTGAATAATCGGTGGAGTTTGTTTAATTGCAAAGGAAAAATAGGAAGAGAATCATTAAAAAAAAAATCAAGCAAAAGAGTTATTGAGGAATCATTTGACTGATTATTGATGCAAAAGGCCAACAGAGCTGGGACACTTATAATGCACTGAATATCGATCAACAGTTCTGTTAAGTGAGGTCTGTACGACTTTGCAAATATGTTTTGAAAATTAAAATATGTTTTGAAAAATCCCATCAATGAAGGCTCTACTACTCTACTTTGCACCCTCCTTGCCATTTCCATACCAACTACATACTCTTCTAATCCATGATTAATCCTCTTCCATTGCATCAGCGTAAACAGGCACAATACTTCAGTCTAGTCTGTGCAGATCAGTGCATTTCTGCCTCCTCCTCCCCCAAATGCTAGTCTGGCATAATCCATAATAAAGCAGGAATAACGTCTGCCAAAAGGAACTACTGTGCAAGTGCGATAAAAGGAGCGATTGCTTACATTGTCAAACAATAAGCCAGTGTTTATAGATATAGTGTTATCTTTTTTTTTTCCGAAGTAATATTGTGCCATCTTTGAAAAAAAGTACACATGTAAAAATCAAGAACGGTGCAGTTTTTCATTTTCAGAGAATTGTTGAATGTGTAAAAGACATCAGCAGGGAGCTGCAGTTTAACCCACATATGAGTTCATGTGTTAATATGACATGCGCGGACGAATAGGAACTGGCGCTATAATTAGATACAGGAGGTGAGAAGGACAGAGCGTGCAAGACACCGATAAATCTGCCTAGCAACAGTCTAAACACCACCTGGGAGTCAAAGCGTGGGGGATGCTGAACAGAGCGCTCTGCACAACATGTAGTGTTTCCCAGCATATTCATCTTTTATTAAAGTAGGAATTGTGAGTCCTTTTTGGGAACACCAAAGCAGAAGTGTTTTATATTTCATCATTGATTAAGGTGCAATAATCTTACTATACAGATAGCAATGAATATAATCAGTTTTCTGCATGGTGTGGATACTGATGTAAATGTGCAAAGTTAGTGTGAGTGAAAAACTTTGGTTTGATCTGCACAAAGCCCTTTGAGGTTTAGTATGTTCTGTTACTGGGAAATAAATACTAAGATATAGTTGTTTTTACAAAATTCCTCATGATCGTTTCCATAAAATCTAACTAAATGAAAACGTTTTAGAAGTAACGTGCAAAAACTGGAGACCTGTGATGAACTGGTGACCTGTCAAGGGTGTAGTCCTTGCCTTACCTAAGTACACTGACAAAATTAGAAGGCTTAGGAAACTGATGAATGGAGTTTTTCTTCCCTGAATGAATGTTTCCCAAAGATAAATGTGGAGTTTTTTTCTATTTTTTTGAGTCAATGAATGTAGAGTTCTACATTGTTAGATCTGTCCAGTTTGTATTTGATAGCAGCGTTTCAACTGAGAGGTTATTTTGACTTTACATCCTCCTCTGTCAGAGCACAGAATACAGTATTATGCTTTGCTGATGGATCAGGTGGGTGATAATCTGATATAGCCTAGATTTCAACGTTGTGTGGAGGTTAAAAAAAGGGTACTGAGAGACATCACCGATACGACAGACTAATCCAGATAGCTTTGCTTCACCAACGATGGCACAGTGCCATATTTCTTTAATCCATACTGGCTTACTCTACATTTCATTTTGTACGTTCTCCTTGCTCCCACCTCATTTTACAAATGTGCAGCAACAGTCAAAACAGGGGCAGTGGCTGCTTAAGAGAAGCTCACCGTTAGTTTTTTGGTGACTTGCTCTCCATCCGCCCCGTTGGTGACGACAATTTATGACGCAAAGAGAGAAAACGAAATGAGGAGGACGGAGCAGAGAGCACTCAGAAGGATTTAATGGTGAACCGCTGGGTGCTCTGGCGGGTCCATAAGGGCGGTGTCGGTGGGAATGGTGTCTGCACACTACAATGAGAAACATCTAACAAGCCTGACCCGTTTGTCTTTGCAGGAATCTTTCAAAGAAATATCAACCCAAGAAGAACTCGAGGGAAGAAGAAGAGAGCAAGTAAGTCAAAGAATTGTGGAACAAAAAGCATTGTATCTCGGAGAAGTATTGGTAGCCTCCGTGCCGACACAGTGCAAGTTGTGGATACTTTGGAAGAGGGTTCCCTGGTCAAATGAGGCCAAAATGTGAACCCTATGACCTAAATGTAAAGCGACATGCTTAGTGGAAAAATATGACTACACATCAACATAAACTCACTGACCTCACTGAAACATGGTGGTGTGCATACGTATAGAAGACAGATAAAGCTCAATGCAACCCTGACGAGAGCGTATTAGACACTTTAGGACAACTGAAGGGTTTAGGTGAAAGTATAGCAATATGTGTTAGAATGGCCAAAACGTCTAAATCTGTGGCAAGATCTTGACTTAAGTTTCCAATCATTCACAATCATACCTGTGTACATACATATACAGGTATGATTGTGTTCTACAACTTTGTCACAAACTATGAGAGACTTGAATACTTTTTCAAGGCGATGTGAATAACATCAGCTCAAACCTTTGTGAGATGAAAACATTTTACAGTGTTTAGTAAAATGAAGTGAAAAGATAAGGAAGATATATCCGTTTCCTGAGCTCCATGTAGAATAGCGAAAGCGTGATTGTGACACGGAAACATTTACTGTAGTCCTGATCTCACTACTACGTAGAGCTCTCATCTCGAAAGTTACACTCATTTCCTTCGATATCAAACTGTTCCTTTTTTACAAAGCAGAAACGTCTTTGTGATGAAATCCAAACTCCTCGTCCACTTTCCTGTGTTGAGCACCATTTTGCCTCTGACACCCTTTCTTATTTCTCACCAGGTACAGCTTCTGTCGAGCCTTCTTCACGACCCTTAACGAGCTGAACGACTACGCGGGTCAGCACGAGGTCATAGCGGAGAACTTGACCTCCCAAATCTTTGTTGAGCTTACGCGCTACCTGCAGGAGCTCAAGGCTGAGAGAAAAACGGTGAGGATTTTTAGAGTTAGTTTCACTTGATATGAAGGTTGACAGTGAAGGGATGAGAAATTAAACAGCCCCGCCCCCTCAATGCTTACTTCTCTGTGAGCAGAGGTCATTGGTGCATATATATAGATGTACCAAAGGGCTTGACTGATACAGTCCTTTTTATAGAACCAGGCTTTTCTCTAACATATAGTGACATTTTGCTTTTTTAAACCAACTTTTACAGAAGTGTCTCTTCTTTTGTACTTCATTAGATACATTGGACAATTGGTGGTCAGTCAACACTATGACAACCACTAAAACAGCAGGATTAATAGTGGAACTATGCAAGAGAAAGAGGCAGCCGTGTGGAAAAAGTCCATTCTAAGACAATCTGTCAGAAGTTCTTTATCTTTGAGGAACAGTTCAGGGAATTGGAGTGGAAAACCTGAATTTTTCTCAAAGGCATGTTGACGTGGACTTTTCTTTTCTTTTTTTTTTTTTTTGTTTAGTATACACGCTAATTTGCATCAAGGCTGATGCAGTTGCTCTTTCTTCAAATGGAAAACTATGAAACCTCTTTTTTTTTAGATTAATTTTAGATGCAGCTGGTGCAAAAGCAAAAGGGGATTTCCAGTTCATTTGGGGGGCAATCCTACTGGCTTAGATTAGCCTGACACATCTATGATCTGACACTGTGTTCACATTCATATCACAGACAGTCCTTTGGTAGAGCTTTGATGCTCTCACACTGCAGGATGTCACTTTATTGGGAATTTTCCTCCTCATCTCTGCTCTCTGCTGATGATTTTCCTGCTCTGTTATCTTCTTTTACTCTTTTTTGGGATCTTCTCTTCTTATTTGCTAGCTAGCTAGGCATTGACCTGTATGATATTCTCTAGAAATGATAACTTAATTAATTATAGATTCCCAAATGGAAGAAAGGAAAAGTTGTTTTGTTGCTAAGTCAACAAAACATGTCCATTTTAAGTGGGCATATTTTTTACTTCAATATGTCCACTTAAAAATGAATAAACACCAGATATACCAAGGGGTTTCCGAGTTCTTGTAGATATATTTAACATTTCTGCAAAAATGTATTTGCTGAATGTTTTGCGGCTAAGTCGGCTATTTGCCCAGTTCTGAGCCTGCCGTTAGCTTAAGAGCTACTAGCTTGCAGTCTCAATAAGTGTGATTGTTAGCTATAATCACATAATAATGAAATCAGCGACATTTAAATATTATTTTTGATACAAAGACCAAAATAAAATCTTGAATTGTCAATAAACTTTATAAGTGCTTATCTTGCAAAATATTATGTCCTTTTTTTCTTTGGTAGCTCAACAAGCTATCATTAGCTCGATACGGCAATAAACTATGAAGATAAGCTATAGGCTAGCTTGCAATTGCTTGGTTAGCATACAGCTTAGCATATTAAAAGTAATGGGTTTTGCACCTTTAATTTCCACCTCATGAGCAGTTGTGAGTACAATATATATATTTTTATTAACAACTGACTGGCAGTGCTCAGCAACATGTGTAACGTGGTGCAGAGTTACCCTATGGAGCATACAGCCAGAAAAAACTTTGGTCACTTTAGTTCTTTCTCAGTAATCTATTTGAAAGGACCTTACAAAGGAGAATAATCGGAATGGCATGATGGAAGAGTCTTACAGTTTTGAAACTATAACATTTCAAAACCAGTCCTACTTCCTGTTCTCCTTAGATTCGAACCCCATGTTTTCTCGCAGCTGATACTGTTGGTAGTGTCATGTGTCTTGTCTCAGCTGTATCCATTCAGCTAGCCACTGTTTCCCTGAATACAGAGTTGTTCCATCTGGAGACATTAAGCACATAATTTCTCAAGTCACATTCAGAACAGTGTCCTCACAGAGAAAACATAGGCCCTGGCATTTTAAAGACCACCAATGAACGGTATCATGTAGAAAAGTCTATTAGAATAGGAAGTTCCTGTTGTTAGTAAAAGGCTTTGCTTGATTAAAAGTCATAAAGAAAACATTGGCTTTTACAGTACGTGCATTCATGATACTGTAGAGAAAGTGGTAATGATACCCTGAATGGTAGCTGTAAAACAGTCAGGCTTTGTATATCCAGCTTCCCTTCATTTCACTGGTTTCCTTTTTCTCCTCCCACTGATGTTCAAGTGTGATGAAGCACCTACTGGTATTTTCATCTGTGTACATGTCAGAAGCAGCTGTGCAGCCCAGACCCCAGACAGTCGGATTTGTAGGCCAAGGGCCTGCCCTCTGCTGCCTCTACAGGCTGCTTATTGGTCAGGTAGAATCTACACCTCAAGCATACAAGGAGGAAAATCGCATACTTAATTTCTCATGCAGGGTTGTTGTGTAACTGTTCCCGCTTCCTTTTGATTGTTTCGCAAAGTCAACCTTTTGCTAATCTTGGGGTGGAGGTGAGTCAGAGAAACATTTTTGTAAACTTTATAGCTTTGCCTGTTTTGGCTTTGCAGTGCAAATTAAAAGCTTTAAACAATAACAACAGTATGCTTTTGGAATGCATTGGCTAATAGCTGAATAAATGCTATTGCAGAGGTTAATATGGGATGAAGAACATAATTCCCACTGGACTGTGTTGTGCTGAGGAATCATAATAAGGTGTTCGGTCAGCAGGTTGCTGTCCTGGCCGTGGCTTAGTTGTCTTCTCCCACAGGGACATATAAAGACCATTGAACAGTCGGACACTACTCATTGGTTCTGATATTTTATTATGACCATTCAAGATTTTTGGCCCTCCCGATACCGACCTGGACCATTTAAGACTAGGAATGTGCTGATTCACAGTTCTCCTCTCTAGTTTTTTTCCAACAGTTGCATTAATATTTTGCTCCAACTAGAATTTTTCTATGTCCTCCTTAATATTTTGTTCCAGCATTTGGTTAATTTGAAATGACTACAATGTTCTGAATCTTAACATAGAGTCTGCTTTCACTCCTTAATTTAGACTGAGGCTGATAAAAACAGAGTTGTTCAGTTTCTACATTCACATTATTGGAGCAGCAGCTCGATGTTCTCAACTTCTCGTGAACCAAGTCAGGTTAATGACTGACTAACATGGTCACCTCTTGACAGAAGCAAAACCAGAAATGGTGCAACAGGAAAGCATTCCTTACCTTCAGATGCATAAGATTGCAGAACAAGTCAAGAACAATACATCCATTTTTGTTTGGACCAAAGTGCATTCCCCAGTTTAGGTGCAGCGAGCACCTCTTTCTGGAACCCCTCCCACACACCCAACACAATCACAATCGGAGTAAAAAAAACCCCAAAAACCCTATAACTCTGTTACTTTTCAGAAAGAGCAAAAACAACAGCATAAAAACTCAATCTGAAATTATTCTGTTAAAGTTTGACCAGTATATTTTAGTATATTATGCTTTTATATCTCTATGGTAATCCAAATGCCAAAAAAAGAGCAAATCTTGTGATTTAATACATAAAATTAAAAAGATTCACTGTGTAAAACCATCCTGCTCAGACCTAGCCAGTGAAAACATTTAAGATTTTCTTATTGATTAAATTCAAATGGTTAAAATAACCAAATATCCTCTTATTTTTGATAAAAATTAACACTATTAATCAGCGTCACAAAAAACAATATTTTTAGTGTTTATGTCAAATCTATATGAAAATATACATGCACATTAGCAGTAGAAAACTTCCACCTGACAATATGTTTATGCTTTATGTTATCATGCTGCCCTATTTATTTGATATTGCATATTAAATAAAAGCAAATAATTAGATTTTTTTCCCTTTTTAGTTTTTGCTCAACATGGTTATTTCCTGAGATACCTACAAAGATTGTATTAATGAGGGTTTGTCCAATAGTTTCCAGCTACTGAGTTACTTAGCTACTTTGGGTAGCTCAAAGCAGCAGGGCTGATAGCAGTCCTGTGCCGTTTCACACCAAGACAGGTGGAAGACTCGCCACAAGAGGTTAGGACAAATTTATCTTGAGAGTCTATGAAGGTAGGAAGCCAACATCCCAGAACATCTGGAAGATAAGTGAGTGTTTTCTTTGCAAAAAACACCTGCAGCACAGATGGTTGGTGGTCTGTTTTATGGGATTGAAAGTAAGCTCAATCGTCTACAGTCTGATTTGTTCATTGTGTGGTGAACATTTTTAAATCTGATGCTGCTGTTAGTCATAGTAGTTTAATCTTCTACATGCAGTTTTTTTGTTTAGCAAAATAAGACGTTGGAAGGTCATAGCCAGGTTATGGAGACGGATATTTCGTCAAAAGAATACTCTACATTAACAGGAATGTCTTTGCGTCTTCTCTTTATCAACTCATCAGTTCATGAGACATCGATTCAAAGCACTGACACCACCTTTATGTAACATGTATTTCAAGGTGAAGGTCAGACACTTCACGACTTCTACTACGCCTAAAAGTCTCGTTTCTGGTGGACCTTCACTAACTTCCTCTGAAACACAGGAGCACTTCCCATTTTTGTAAAACTTCCCTTAAACTCTTTGGGAAATGAGAAGTATGACTAGTAGAGGTAAACCATAAGTCACAAATCTCTCGCATGTCCAGTATTTATCGGGTGAGAATCCAATCTCCTACCGCCCCACCACCTCGCTGTTGATTTCATGTTTCTTACCAACTTCCTTCTGAAGCCCAACCACAAGCTCAGAGTAAGTTATTGAATAGAGACATCGACATTCAGCTCAGCTACTGAGCTCAGCGACCGCAGCGTGTGTAACCAAGGGACACGCCATTGACAGCCTAGAGCCTGTGTAGGCTTTTGGATTCTTTGCCAAACTTAAGAAAACATTTATATGCTTTAGAAGTTATCGCAAACTGATCCGTTAGCAAGTACTTTGAGATTTGGATCCAGATGGTCTGTGTTTCCATATTTTTTCCTAGAGTTGTGTGGTCAATACAGAGAGCTGGAGATTGTTGTGGTTTGCCTTTGGGACAAGAGGGCTGAGATAAGCCAAGCGAGGCTTTGTGAAGAAACGCAGCATATGTTCTGTGGGAGTTTAAGCCAGCAGCTGTTTTCTGTGTGGCGACACTTCGCAGTGCCGAGATCCACCAGGACTCCACCGCCATTACTCCACCCAGTTCTTCCACTATTGATTTTATTTATTTAGCATTCTGATATCTCATTAAGAAGCACTACTTTCCTAATACTTAAACTGCACCGTAAGCAGGTTAAACACAAAACTCAAATTACTGTAGTTGTTTGTAAATAACCAGTAATAAATAATATACACTAACAAATTTAAATAATTTTTTCATATCAGCTTTCAGTGAGGCAGAGGATTTTTTTTTAAAGAGTAAAATAGTTTTTTGTTTTGCTTGAATTTGGTCAGATAAACTCCCCACCAAAATTCTGGGGGAATCACCAGGGTTATTCAAATAAGTTCAGACGGGGAAACTTAACTGTGTTGCTGGTTTCTCTTCCGATGTTCGACTTTTGTGCTCTAGAAATTTCTAAACCACAACTGTCAACATCGTGGTGAGCTAAGCAAATAAGTTAGGTGACTTTGTCAAATTGCATGAGTCAAGAAGTGAATAAAACTACTGCACTTTCATAATGTCATAGTATTAATAAGAAAATTTCAGACAGGAAAAAAAATGATCTCATTGGTTTGATTCAAACAATTTTCCAGACAGTCTTTCAGCTTCTCAGGTTGTATTTTTGAAGCAGCTGTACCCTGGCAACAGGACTGCATTCAGTTAACTTTCACATCTTGAATTGTCTTGAGTTTTGTGACCAAAACCGCCAAATTAGAGGCATTTTTTAGCCAGCCAGTCTGATAGTGAGCAGCAACATTTGTGATGTGGACACTGCTGCAGAACTCCTTTAAAAGTATTCATGGATACTTGTTTTGATCATACAAAGAAAGAAGAACAAAAAGTGTGTTCAGGCCTTTCACTGGGTTTATAATAATCGTTGTGAATTTGAAGTATGCATGGCCTCCCGACAGCGAGAAGAGACAACAGTTCAGCAGCAAAATCCTTGCTCCAGGCATTGTACAAACTATGACTTTGAAGCTTTATGATCTCCTTCCTCTCAAAATTATTGGTTTCCCTGCTGTCATTATTTTAGCTCTGAAATGGTTACTGTCTTCTAATTTAAAAGAACACTAATTGCTTTAAACTGACCTAAATTTGTCATGTAGAGTCTGTGAAGGAATGCTGAATTTCTCATGAATAATATTCAGTGGTATTGTGTGGTTTCCTATTTCTAGTTCTTAGTATGTCAAGGTCAGGCTCACCTGCTTTTTAAAATTGCTTTGAGTGTCTCATTAGAATGATGTCATTAATCATTTCCTTAAATTCATCCCCCTTTCCTCCACAGCATTTCCATGATGGACGCAAAGCACAGCAGTACATTGAAAGCTCGTGGAAGCAGCTGGAATCGGTAAGTCTGTTTCACTTTTATGAATAAACTTTAATCCTGTTCACAGCCAGAGTTTGATTTGAATCAGAGTGGTATCATGGTGGCACAAAGAGAGGCTACTGCTTTGTGCCTCCATACGAATCTAAGAACATCAGTCCTGGATACAATCAGTAACCCTTAAAACATGCTATAATTATTAAAACGAGCCACAGTCAACTCTGACTAAAACATTTTGCTGAGGTCTTGATTGGGATTTTTGTTTTTTACTTTTCAGTTGAGTCATTTAGGATTAGGCATCTGTGCCACGAATAATCCTAAAACAACTTCCAAAAAACTAAACTTGCTATAATTAATCAGTATTATATGGCCTGATATTGTGTCCCACTTGACAAATAGTTTTTCAGAAGTTCCAGATGCTGCATTATCTGTTTTTCTTTAAAATATATTTTGTCTCAGCAGGAGTTTTTACAGGTTATGGTTTGCTTGGCTAATACAGCTACTATAATTTTTGACAATGTATCAACTAAAGTGAGCTCAGCTCTATCATTTGTTTCTATATATCAAACATCAAGAGCAAAACATTCAAATCAATATTTTACTCTTCTTTTCAACCAGAACAGTTATCTAAAGTGCTAGACTAATGTTTGTATGTCCAGTTTTTGTAAAATACTTGTCTTAGCATATTTCAGGTTGGTTCCTGTTCATTTCATGCAGATATAACTTACAGTAAAGGTTGCTCTCCTGCTTTGAATGCCGCAACTTTTGCTAACAAGCGTTTTAGCTGAATCTGTCCAGGGGCAACTGAGAATACTTAGCACGGAGTGGAGGCCAAACACATTAGCCTGGTGAGAGCTGCACCAGTCATTATAGTCTCTTTTTCATTGTAAGCATCTTTGTAAAGGGTGAAAAGACACAAAATCTATACATCAACCAGATGGCTTGCTGTGGGTACAGCTGATGCATAGGGAGTTTCATTGTTTCTAGGACTCCAATACCAATCATTTGAAGAGATTTTTAAAATATATATCTGAGATTATATCAAGACATCCCTAATCAAAAACCTTATGACACACTTAATCTAGACCTGTGTGGCAAAAATAGTTGGGAAGAAGTGAGAAAACAATCTGATTTGCAATTTGATGTCAGTATAAAACATGAATGTCTATTAAGAGAAAAAGGTTTTTTGTTTTATTCCTTCTAGCCTAAATGAAGGACTGACAAGAGAAAAATCCTATAACACCACTTCTCATCTCTGCCTGGCCCCTTTGACGAGGTAGAGGAACAGTGCGAGAGAAATACATAACTTGCCTTGCCCTCCTCAAACTTGTCTCTGCGCTCAATGATGCCATTGTGTGTTAGGCGGAGAGGCACAGCTCAGAGTGCACACTGGCCCTACAAACAGTGATTGTTCGGTCAGAGGGTTGGATGAATGCTTGTGTTTTTTTTTTCTCTCCACAAATGACCACCACGAATATTTGTTTATTCTTCAGCCTGTGGACGTTAGCCTTCACGGCGCACAATGCCGTACATGAAACATACATGACGTACATGTAGAAGTTATGACGCCCGTTTTATGCACAGTCAAAGGTCGCCTCGTATATTGATATATACCGTGTGTTAACGAGGATTCAATTGAATTTCTTCTCATTTCAGTGTAAAAGAAGGTTTGAGAGAGACTGCAAAGAGGCAGACAGAGCACAACAATACTTTGAGAAGATGGATGCTGACATTAACGTGACTAAAGCTGATGTGGAAAAGGTATGTGTCCTCAAGTCAAGCTGGGTTCCTCTGAGCCCTTCATTTTTTTTTTTTGGCCAGTTTTAACCTCCCAACCCTAATTTGTCATACCACCATGGCTGAAAGACAAAAACAAAAAGTTTGAGTGACTGTGTATTTGATGCCAGGGATGCTGTCTCAAAGCTGACATTGTCTCAGCAGCACAGAGATTTGCTGCTGAACAAAGCTGGTAGCACAACTCAGCGCTCATTATCATTGCAGAGAAGCAGCAAACACTCTGCAGCGCTGCATGAGCCTTAGTCACAAAGACAACTGTGTTAATGCCACGCTTGTGTGTATGTGTGTGTGTTGCAAGGTAAATTGTCGATTCCTCCTGTGCAGTTGCTTTTTCGTCGCACTGAATCGACATGCAGCTCGATGGTATTAGATATATTATGAAACGTCACTATCCAGTTCTCACAGATCCATCCCTTCCCCTAGGCCCTGCGTGGGTTTGTAGTTGATGTCATTTCCTGTTGTCATGACCAATTAAAAGAACCCTCAAGAATCTCTGCCCTAACCCACTCAGCTCCCACGCCCGCAAGGCATCATGGGTCAGCGGCGCGTGCTCCTGCTGCTTCCATCAGCTGCAGAGACAGGACTCAGGCTCCGAGCTGACATGGTTCAGACGTGATTATTATGCAAATATGGTTGGGAAGAAAGAGGCTTTCTGCACTCGGGACATGCAGTGGAAGTCTGAACTCTTCTGGAGAGATGCAGCAAAGCACATCAAGAAGCTGGTCTTAGCTGTCACTGTTAGTTTTGGATTCCAAGAGAATTGCAGTTAAATGTTTTTAATTTTCTTTTCATTTAATTACCGCTTACCACCTTAACCTAACACCTTTATTATGCGCTACATTTCTCAGTGCTGTTCGGAACCAACACAAAAGAAATCCTGAAATAGTTTTGCATCCATGCAAAACAATATTGATGTCACTCCCACAAACGGCACAGTCTGAAAGCCAAGTAGTTTAATTGCTATTAACACAGATGAAGAACAGATCATGAGTATCTTGTGTTGTTGTCTTCTGAAAGATGTATATTTAAAAAATTTTTACAGAGCTGACAGAGTACTTGTAATTGGAGGGAATACATGTCAAAATATGCAACTAGTTTGGGTTTGGATGTTAGCTACAAAGTTTGTGTTTGAGCGGGTTTATGGTTATAAGAACAGCTATTTGTTTCAAGGAGACAAAGAGGGAAACAATATTATGCAGTGAAATATGTAAAAATAGCATCTTTTGCTTAATTTTGGGAAAGTATTTGTAGCGCTTTTGAACTGTTTCCACAAATTTTCATGCAACAACCCCAATGCTCAATTTAAAGTGCTAGTATTTGATACGGTAGAGCAACAAGCAGGAAATAATTGTCAAATGGGAAGGAAGTAAGAAAGAACATTCATAAACAAAGCAGGCAGAAAGTCCAAAGTAAATCTGGCTGGCTGGTGTCATTTCTGTTGTCAACCTGTCAGATGCTACATCCGTCAAGAGAGATACAAATAAAAAGTGTGATTTTCTTTAGCGTATGTGTACTGGTCTTATATTTAATTTGCCGCTTAGGTCTTCAAATTAAAAATATTAATTTGAGTTGGTAAAACCTGCAAAACCATGTCAAGGGGCATGCATATTTTTTAAATCCAATGTGGAATATATAATCTTAAAGGCTTCTTGCTAAATCTTTCGTCATTAGAAAATGTGTGTAATTTTACACACATATATATATAGTTCCTGTGGTAATTGCCAGGATATAGCAGGTTCAGGAAACAGATGGATGGTTAATGTTCCAGAAGAAGTTTTTTCTTTTTTTTCTTCTGAAATCTGATGTGGTTCTTCTGCTGTTTGTTGAGTTGAGGTTTTTGAGGTTTTGTTCAGAGCAGGAGAAAGAGGTTCTCGCTGTTTTCTTCCAACCTCTGGGAAGCAAATGTCTCAGTTTGGGGTTTGCTTTTCTAGCGCAGACAATTTAAAAGGTTGTTTCATGTCCGTTAGGAACACACCCCACCCACTCACCACCTCTGGGCCTCTCACACACTTACATAGTACCCAAATTATTAACTCAAAAAAAAAGAAGCATGTTATACTCCTTATTACATATGAGTAAAAGCCCCAAAATCCCATATCTGTGTTTAATAAAGCCAGTATTTACTGTGAGCGGTTGCTATGACTGCGTATCACTTCCTTTTCAAGTGATGGAAAGCTTTGTGATTCAGGACGCGCATCTATGGCAACATCTTGTTTAAGCTGGAGACGGCTAACAATCCTTTGTTTGTGTTTGTGTATTTATTCTATGCCACGCCTTGAAGCGAGGCTTGAACAAGGTAGGTCCGGCGTGCGGAGAACTTCTGCTTGTGGCGGATACGCAAACACACTGTCTCGACTTTGTGGCCAACACATCTTGAGCCCGGTCTGTCCTGTCCTGTCAGTGGCTTTGAACGCTGTCCTCTGCTGAACATGTTTCCGTGCAAGCCTTTTATATGTGCAAAGCAGAATGAAGTCTTGGCGAGTCGGTAGTTTAAGGTAACACTGTTGGGATGGATGGAGCCTTCTACCATTACTTGCACACAGACGAGAGCAAAGCGGAGCCATCTCCGGAACATGACAACAGGATGTGATGCGGCTGCAGCACAGCAGCCTGTTTCAGAGTTATGCTACATGCCCTGTTACCGTGATGACAACATCGTTGCTAAACACAATCTGCACTGTTTGCATGCACCTACATCAGCTCAGCTTCACATGCATATATAGAGTTCACAACCTTACCCAGTTTTTTTAAATCACATATTCTATTCTGTAGATTTCACTTATCTGTGATTCTTTTATGTTATATGTTACCCTCCTGTTTTTAATGCTTTTATGTTAATTTACAAAAGCACGCACAAAGACAACTGAAGCATACACAGCGCAACGTGGTAGAAAGGTGGGCCAAGAAATGAAATTAGATATTCATATCCCTCTAAAGTGGATGTAACTGTAACTTTCACCTCCTGCTGCCTGAAAAATTATCCTCCTTATCGACAAAGTCGAGATGTTAAATGTTAAAATTAATTAACGTAGGTTTCCTCTTGAGTATCTTGAATTGTATTTGGCAAAGTTTCTGAAGCTAAGCTAATCTTCAAACTAAATAAGTAAAACTAATTAATTAATAATTACTAAAAAAAACCTTTCCTTTCAGTTTTTTATGTGTAGTTTTCCTCATAGATATCTGGATATCTGATGTCTGGACCCGCAGCTGTCCTACACATTTTCTTTTGCCTTTTTTTCCCCCTTTTTTCATCAATATATGCAAGTATGTGAAGATCACTCGACACTGGAACCGGAGTATATTTTAGCTATTCAAAAATACGACACAACAACAAAAAAATTATGAATAAAATGGTTCAAGAAATCATTTTACACAAACATGCCTGTTTGATGTAAATTATCAAGCTAACGTCAATCAATCATGCGATTAATTACTTATTGTGACAGGTTTAGTCATAATCACAGGCTCCTAAGGTAACTCTTCCTGTGGGTTACCAGCTATTATTTATGTGTGGATGGGCTCCAGAGCTGACAGAAAGAGGAAACAGATATCAGTACTTAGCAGCATGTACACACACACACACACACACACACACACACACACACACACACACACACACACACACACACACACACACACACACACACACACACACACCCCACACACACACACACACACACACACACACACACCCCACACACACACACACACACACACACACACACACACACACACACACCCCCACACACACACACACACACACACGCATGCACACGCCACACAGTCTAGCAGAGATTATCTCATCTCCATCTGCTCGCTATTGGTCAGTAATAGCCTGCTCCTGCTGAGTTTCTGACTGTCTGCCTGCTTCCCTTACTCTAAACTAGCCTAAAATAATCAACATCACGGCCAGATAGGGCAGGCAGTCAAATCCAAATCCTGCAATTCTGTCATCTTTTAATATATATTTGTTCTGGCCTACATACGATTACATACGACATGGATTTCCACCTGTCTCTGTGGGTCCATGTGCTTCCTGTTTATGTGTTTGTCAGTGACCCAGCTTCACGAGTAGAAATGTAGTTTTTTAATTTTTAATTTTAAAGTTATGTTTGTATTTAAACCCTACAACCATGTCAACACACAGGGTTAAAGAGATATTCACACTATTCAATGTCTGTGTATAATGTTTTCTTTTCCATCCTGCAGGCACGACAGCAAGCTCAGATGAGGCACCAGATGGCTTCTGACAGCAAGGGCGATTACTCATCCTACCTGCAAAAGTTCAACCAGCAGAACGATCATTACCACACAATAATTCCCAACATATTTCAGGTAAGTACGACATTATGGCTGCATAAAGGTGCATGCGCGTGCAAGCGCAAGCCACCTCACACCTGCACTCAATTGCAGAAACTTCAAGACATGGAGGAGAAAAGGATCGAGAGAATAGGAGCATGCATGAAGACGTTTGCAGAGGTGGACCGTCAAGTGCTGCCCATCGTGGGAAAGTGTTTAGACGGCATGACTGCAGCCGCCGAGTCCATCGAGCCCAAGACTGTGAGTATACGGTGTTATCTGTTTGCATACAGACGACCCCATGAGGGACATATTGCTCGCTCAACCAGGCTGCCGGTTACATCCCACACACTGTCTGTTAGGGTTGCACTAAAACAAGAAGTGTGCAAGTGGAATATGACTCTGGGTGGTGTTTTAGATGAAATAAAATGTGAAGTACAAGGTCATTAGGGACTTTTTAAGGCGTTATTGCGGGTGAACAAACACAAACACTCTTGTTTTTATTAAAAGAAAACTAACAACTTTAATAGATTGTGCATAAAATCTTAAAAAGTATTTTTGGTCCAGTTTCTATTGAAATATCTTGGCACACTTGAAATAAGGCAAAACTGACTTACAAGTAACATTTCATAAATATTAAGGAATTATTGACTTAAAACAACTCATATTTTTTGCTGTCAAGTTACTTGTAAGTTAGTTTTCTTTTATTTCATGTGTTCTAAGATATTTCCACTAGAAAATAGGCCAAAAATACTTGTGTTTTTGCAGTGCACATGGAAAACTTGCCTGATTCTCCATGTTAACAATTATACTCAGTGGTCTCAGCTAAAGGGTCACTTGTTATTATGTAGAAAAACTTCACTGAACTTGTGACTGAGAGAGATCCACATCGTAGCAGAAGACTTGTGGGAACATCCTCTGTGCCTTTAGGGGAGAGCTTTCCAAGAACTGAAAAAAGGACTTGATGATGTCAGAAGGATTATCTTGGGTTTTAGATTTGGAATTTTTAACAAAGACCCAAATTCACATTAGTTGTTTAGAGGAGGGATTGATGTCTTATGAAACTAAATGCCACATAGCTAAGACTAAGAAACTTTCACATCATTTTTGATCGGCTTTTGAAATAATTCTAGTTATGGAACAGGTCTGCTCCAAAATATTTAGATTATTTGGGAAGCCAACTGAAATGCGATGGTTCCTGTTTTTGACAAAGTTTTTAATTAGAATTAAATTCAAAGAGATATGGTGATAGATTTGTTCAAAGGTAGTAAAATGCTACTTTATTTCTAGAAGTCACTCTCCTTGGATCTTTTGAAAGTTGCTGCTGCAGATGGCACTTTTATAGGGACATTTTTAACATTTTATTTTAGATTTATGAACTTTTAGCAGAGGCTGTAGTTGATGGATGTTATGTCACAGCTGAGTTTGTAAAATCTGCTCTGTGTCAAGGCCATCGTTGTCTTCAGGTCACCACATCTTGATGGAAAGTGTCTCAGCTCTAAGATCTCTTTGAGGCCGAAGCGCATTTGTTAACTGAAGTTTGGTCACTAATTCGTGGTCTCTAGAACTTGGATATTGATAAAAAAAAAAAAAAAAAAAAAAAACAACTGTGCCATAAATTAGGATGTCATATACTAGTTGCTTGGTGTATGATTAAAAAAAAATGGTGGCTGTTCCCAGAGATCCCATCGCGACTGCGCTCCGGGGAGACGACTCCAGCCTGACACTGTTCTGCTAAAGTAAACAACGGCTGAGAATGACATATCACATGCTTCCTCCTCCTGTTTCTCCTCCACTCTAGTCTTATTCTTCTGTCATACTGTATAAGGAGATAACAGATTTTCAACCTTGATCCCGTTGAACTCCAGGCAGATTGTCTTATCAGCTCCAATAGCTCATTGTCTGTTGCAACTGATTCACAAGCTTTTTCCTGTGTTTGTGGTTCCCAGTGATGGTGTTCCTGGAGCCTTTCTTTTTCTCTACAAACACCAAAACATTTTCAGTATGTTTTTTTAAGCAAGAAAATACAATTTAATTTAGATATTTTTTAGTTTGAATGTTTAAGAGATGTCTTTACGTCCTTTAAATTTAGAGGTTTAAATCTACTATGCTATAAAAATTTGGGAAAGCCCAGTCGGTGATGTTATTACTTTGCAAGTTTAATTCACAACATTTTACAAACTTGCCTGTTTGTGGAGTGTAAAACGCACTGCTTCATCTGACAGCATGGAAAAAGCAGCAAAACAAATCTGACAAGACAGGAAGAAACAAGTCCACCACTGAGAACAATTTCTAGATGGCTTCATGAGAAAAGAGCAATATATGGAAATATTGAAGCATCATCCAAGACAGCAGCTAGGAAGTGGATGCTTTGGCACAAATGTGTCTTCCATATGGACAACGACCCTAAAAATAGTGCCAAATTAGCTACTAAGTGGATTAAGACCAACAATATTATCAAAAATAGGGTTTAACTAATGTCAAAATCACCCACAAAGCTGACTCGGTTATGCTAGTTCTGTCAGGAGGAACGGGCCAGAATTCAAGCAAACTACTGTGAGACGTGTCAGGAAGGAAACCACAAACATTTTACCTAAGCCATACAATTTATAATTTTACCAAATAGTCAGGAAATTTATGCGAACATCTGATTTCCAAGGAAGCATGGCAGGTATTCAAAAAAGTCTCTCATTAAAGTTTTGCTGGACTTAACAAAAGACAGTGAGAGAAAATGCAATGAGTATGCTTATATTAATTTAAAATGTAGTTATTATGGCGACATCTGAAAATTTTTGAAGACAAAAATTAGATAAAAACACAACTTCCACTGACCAGTGCGGCCGCTTTCTCCCTCCAGGACTCCCAGCAGGTGGTGGAGTCCTACAAGTCTGGCTTTGAGCCCCGAGCGATGTGGAGTTCGAAGACTACGGTCAGGCCATGAAGAGGACGGTGTCTGAGAACAGCCTGTCCAACTCCAAAGAGGGCAAAGAAAAGCCTGCCGGCAAGAGCAAGCCCAAACTGTGGCCTTTCATTAAGAACAAGAACAAGGTAATGCACGGAGCTACACTCAAAAGCCTCACTCGTTTCGATGCATTGTTCTCTCCGAGAGGTCAGCTTGCTCTTTTTGGAGCGTACTGTGGAACAAAAAACTGGAGGCATCTCAGATTTTTTTTTGGTCATTACCTGAAAATTAATTAGACTTTCTACAATAATTGCAGTGCATCATTAGCTTGCTTTTTTTTTTCTTTAGTGCTCTTCGATATTTGTTCACTATGTTAAGCTCGTGAATTTTCTTTTCTAGTACTTTGTTACTATTGCCATTTTTGGTTGTTATTATTTGCCACCCGTCTCCTCTTCCCACGCAATCACCCTCACCGATGTTGGGGCCACCCTTTTTATATATATATATATAACACACACTAATGGATTTCTATCTTTGCCTAATGGGCGGACTCAACTGGCAGATGATAACCCGCTGTCCAATCTTAAGTAACACTCTCCTTTTTACCCTTTTCATTTCCACTGGTCATCAGTTTTCCTCTGGTTCTGGCTTATGAACTCTAAATCTGACCTTTGGCTGTCTAATGGGCTGGTAGCACTGTTAATATTAAAGTAGTCAAGAAGGTAATTGAGTAATTGTGTGTATGTGTGCGAATGTCTTCGGCCAAAACAATCATAGCAGACACTAGTGTAATCTACTCTATGTAACCTTATCGAAAGGTATTTAAACTAGAGATGCACCAGTCTGAGTGTTTGTGGTCAATGCCTGGTTTTTGTAAAACTTTGACCTGCATATGATGAATTTAGGTGATTTGGGAGACATGATTCTTATTTTTTTCAAGCCATCCAGCTAGCTATAAGTAAGAGGTCATTGACTATTCAGTCCCTCCAGTTTTTCAAGACTGCACAAATGTGGCAATTTATGTAAAAAGCAACTGATACATAACTCTGAGTCTCTTTGGAAATGTTGTGCAAAAATGATCACAAACATTGGTACTAATTTGGAAATGTAATTTATGCTGGGGGGAGCATTGCGCTAAAACATTAATTAACATTTGTGTAAATGTGCCAGAATTAGCCAAAAATGCCACTTTTCATCTGTCGTTCCTGGACTATGAATAATTGTTCTTACTAAAAACAAAGGTCGTACAAAAACAAGGTTAAAATGACCTAACAACAACAAATTTATCAATGAACGCAAAAAGTACAAACAGTAAATAGAAAACAAAAGAAATCTGCAAACTCCCTCCTGCAGGTGACAGTATTTCTTACTTCTCCCACCTGCTTCCTCAGTCTTACTTGATCTCAAGTAGTTTCTTTATAGACATGGCAAGAAACAAACAGTGACATTTCCTGTCATACATGAAGGGCAAAGTCTCCTGGTATCAAGCTTTTTGTGTTTGAAAAAAAATAGTAATGTTTGGGGATTAATGAGGAAAAAAAATAATTGCAAATATTTAGCTCCTAGCGACGGCGCGTTCACTGACCAAAAAAATACAGACTTTTGGAGTTTGATAGGTTGAGTCAAGCTAGAAATCAGTCTTTTCTGATCACAAACCTATTTCCCTGTGCATCTCTAATTTAAACACAATAAATATCTGCATGCAGGCATAACAGACACACGAAAAGGGCTGTAATTTCTTCTAATTGTGAAGAAACAAAAGCAGTCTGTCGACATAATCTGTCTCTGCAGATTATGTCGATTATGCACTTGCATGTGCATTATTGTGAATAGAACCTTGTCACTGCTTCGTCTCACATCTGAACCAGTTGTTCTGAGGTTTGAGGATAAAAAAAGACAATTAGCTCTGTCTCCCGATGACCTGATGAATTCAGTGATGAATTTCCTCTGGGATGTAGTCATTTAGCCGTCTTGATTGAAGAAAAAAAAAACCCACAGAGAAGGGATGTCTAAAATGGAATCCGGCATGAGCTTCGAGTCAAACTCTTTGCTTTGTCGCGGCTGCTTGCTTTGCACCCTGAACTCACGCTGATCGTTTTGTTCTTTTTAACAGTTTGTCTTTTGTTGGTTTTATATGTTTTAACTGTTTATTTGTTCCCACAACATAAGCACTCTTACACTGGGTTTGGCATTTCTTTGGTTGTCTTTTATGTTCTGTTTGGCTTTTGTTTTGTTGTGTGTTTATTTTTTAATATTTGTAGGAGGCTTATTTATTTTGTTTTGTGTTCCCTCCTTTTCCTCCTTTGTCTTTTTTTCGTTGGATTCTCGCCCCCTTCTTCTTCTTCTTCTTCTTCCATGTTTTTCTTCCTTCTCCTTTGTGAAATGGCTCCCTCTCACACTGGTAGCTTATGTCCCTGTTAACGTCCCCCCGTCAGCCCCCACCTGCCCCCCCAGCCTCATCCCTGCCCTCACCCTCTGCTGTTCCCAACGACCCCCAGTCTCCCAAGCAGCACAAGGAGCCCCTCTCCCATCGCCTCAACGACTTCATGGCCTCCAAACCCAAAATGCACTGCCTCCGGAGCCTGAGGCGAGGGGTAAGTGTGTGTCCAGCGAGCTTTGTGCATGTGTTTATATGAGAGTGTGTGTGTGTGTGTGTGTGTGTGTGTGTCCGTCCACGCCTGTACCTGAGCTCTGCACCTGCTGCACTGTATGAGCGAAGCGATGCAAACCTTTTTCAAACCCGTTGAACTTTCTGCCATTTTGTTGCGTTACAGCTTTTTGTTTGTTTTTGTAATAAACAAAAAAAGAAAGTGATGGAGACTTCTGAAAATTTCAACAACAAAAAAAATTCCCGCAAATTAAATTTGCTTTTAATTTGTACTCAGCCTCCTGAGTTTATTAGGGGTATAAACTCAGAGACAATTAATACCCCTAAATTGTATTTAGGGGTATTTCATTTAATACCACTAAATACGATTAAGTGCAATCAGAAATCATTTACTTAGTAAACTGCAAAAACGCAAATTCTTACAAAGTATTTTTAGTCTAGTTATTGTAATTATCTTAACACAAAACAAACTTGCATGCATCTTTTCAGCAAGATATATGAGCTTGTTTCAAGAAATTAATTCCTTAATATTTATTTAGAAAGTACTAGTTCCACTGGATTATTTTTACATTTTCCCATGTTATCCGCCATCTGTTTCACAATTAAACCCTACCTTAAGTTGTAACAGTTATAACATGAAATTTCTTTCATGTATGAAAAATGGCAAGGATTTGAATATGTTTTCAAAGCTTTAATTATACCAATTTGAAAACAACGCAAGCTGAATACGTATTATTTGAAAACAACTTTTGAAACTATGTGACAAGAACTTAAATGGAGTAATTAGCTTCTCTCATGCAGCGCTCAGCTTCTCCGCTTCACTCTCGTGCTTCTGTGGTGCATAGTTACGAGTCCCCGTTACTCATCTGACTCACCGACAGTCTCTTCATCTCGTCCCCTTCACATTTCATATTAACTCCTCTCACAGCAACAGACCCTCTCACCTCCCCCTCCTTTTCCTCCTCTGACAGATTTTTGCAAAACGCCTGAGCCGTTCCTGGCAGTAGCATGGAGACTGCAGTGGTTCCCCCTCTCCCCGTCTGTGCTACTCGCTCTGCAGTCTACGTCGGAGACAGATTGTTTTAGTTATGCTTTGATGCACGAGATATGAAAGACAGAACACAAAGAACGTGAGTTTATGATAAGAGTGGAGTGATGGAAAAAGGGTCAGGAGAGGGGCTTTAGAAAGGCTGTTAGGTGGGTGGTTTTTATCAGCACCAACCCGATGTCCTGGTTTATGTCACCACCAGTTCCTGTTCCACAGTCCTAGCTGGAGTTGCAGTGGAGATACTGGGTGACGGTTACTGGGGGAAGTCGCAGCATACTTTCCTGTCATGCGACCACTCCCTCCCATATCCAGTTCTCCCTGACCTCAGGAACAAGGCGGCCGTTTTTAATGTTCCTTCCGGGCAAACAATTGTCATATTTTTTTTTCTTTACATGCGTTTATGACTTAAAAGGACAGCGTGTACCCACAGTAAAAACCTAAATGCAAACATGACCTGAACAAGAGCAAACGTGGGGCAACAGGCCTGTTTGTGGATGTCACTGAGGAGGAAATGACGGTAGGGATCACAGAGAAGAGGGAAATGCGTCGTTTTTCTGACTCTGGGCGCATGTAGCAGGAAGCGCACAATCTTCTGAAAGCGGAAGTGCTGCAACAACTTTCAAGAAGAGAGGTTTTAAAAGAAAAAAATCAGAGATAAATTGCAGGCATTGTTTCCGGACCTCTAAGTGATCGAAGTAGAAGGCTGAAGGTTCCTGGGGATGCTAGAGGTGGTGTTAAAGGAAACGAGTTTTTCAGACTTTCTCATCTAGTGGAAAAGGTTCAATATGAAGCTACATGTTTAATTTAGACTTTTTAAAATAACTTAAAGACCTTCTGTTTGGGAGAAAAGGAAAGCTGCAAACTGACCTTTGGAGGACACCTTACAAATCTGTGCTAACATTTCTTTACAGTTGCAAGCACACTACTTGTTATAAGCTTAACTGAGAATTAGATGCAGCATCCTGCAAAAGTGTTCATACTCCAACTTCTTCAAATGTCATCACCTTATAACTAAAGTTTACTGCTTGTTTCAGTGAGATCTGCGATGATCTACAACAGCAAAGTAATGTGTTATTGTGACATGGAAGTAAATGGGGACTTGCTTTCGTTTGCTTAGTTCTTATCAGGTAAATATATGTTTAGTATGATAAATGTAGAGACGTCTGAGTTTATGAGCTTTGTACATATAAAGAGTGAAGGTTTTGCCAAGCGCGCCACAGAACAGCTCAATCAAAAGGAATAAAGAGCATCCATGACCCTCAATTTGTCAAGTCTTGAATCTTAAATTGTGACTGGGTCATTCTTACGTATTCTTATACTTTGATTTAAACCACTTTTTCTTTTTTTTACAACTACGTTGAGTGGGGGGTCCACAATATTAGAAAATCACAATGTTGGAAAACGTTAGTTAAACTTTATTATATCAGTATATAAAATTACTATATGTAGTTAAATTAATGACAAGTGCAGTATGCTTTAACCTTAAAGCGTACTCTGGACTGGATGGGACAGGATAAATAGTGGAGAAGCATAGCAGTGCTCTGTGCTACATGCTTTGTGTGAGTTAGCTTCAATTTGAAGAAACAAATGCAAGAATAACAATTTCCAGTTGAGTCCGTAACATGCTGCTACTCAGTTTAGCAATAAGACATGCCAGCAAAAATCTAGGCTATATCACTAAATCAAAGCTTGTTGTTTCTGTTTTGAAAATTACAATTTTGTTCTAACAAACCACAAATATGTGATACTTTTTTTCATTTTTCCATAAAATTGAATGTAAAACAAAATCAGGTATGTGGTATAAGGTGACAAAATGGAGGAATAAAGTTGAAGAAGTATAAATACTTTTATAATGTGCTGGATGTTTTGCTTGATGTTTCCTGTTAGAAGGGAAGTTCAGCAAGCTTTTGGTTAATTATTTCATTTAGGAATAACAAAATGTAGCCTTGTGAAGCACAATTTGTTTCTAATACGATTTTATGAATATAGTAGCTTTTCATATAAGCCCTGTGCTGTAGATCCATGCAAAAACTTTGTGAAACACTGATGCCAGTTGTCATTTGTCACTCCATCCATCACTTTTGTGGGCTGCTACCTTGTATATGTCGCATTTCTATAAGTGTGATATGAAATAAGAAATACTATTTTTCTTGCCTTCAATGCCATTAGAAACATCTTCATCATAAAGAAAGCTTTATGGAGAAATTTATCAAAGGCAGATCTAGCTTCAACGCCCAATTCTAGTGTTATTGAGTGTTTATATGAAAGTCAATAGGAACGATTTAGCTTCTCTGCCCGCTTCCTGCACGGAGAGCACAGTGTTACACTGGAGATTAAAGTGCCTGTGGAGGTGGGCTAGTTGTGCACAGTGGAAAGATGTGCACCCCCAGCAGGAGAGCCCTCTGTGTGCTGCATATTAAGCTATCTAATCCATCCGTTGTCACTGCATGTGTGCTGTTACGGAAGTAGAAAGAGCAGGTTTGTGCTTTAGGAGTCATCTCATAAGGCAAGCAGTCATTAAGGTCTTGTTTTCCTGACTTGAAGCTTTACTCTCTCTGACTGCCACTACAGCAGCAGTCCCCGCGCTCGCTCATTTATCACAAAGAGCTCATGAAGAGGACTCTGGGTCAACCCACATATGCTTTCGAAGCAAGGCAATATGTTGTAAGTGTGTGTGTTTTGAGTTTTACGTTAGGAGACAGTGAGTATCCCGCCACGTTTATACATGTTTGCAGAGAGAGCGAATGAGTATCGAGAGCGAGCGTGTGTGTGATTAGCAAGGCCACACGAAAAGCAGGCAGTAGCCTCTTTTTTATTTCTTTCTTAAGTGATGTGAGGAGACCGTTGGTCCCGGTTAATGAGGCAAAACAAACCTCACAAAGGAGGCTAGTGTCTGCATCTGGCTCCGTGTTCATCACATGGCTGTGTCACGTGTCGGGATCAAGACAAATGATCAGAGAAGATGGTGATCTCATCCCTCATCACATGTTATCAGCTTGGGGTGTTGCAGTGTCCTTCAGCTGTCTCTGGGGGCTTCCCCCCTGCTCCGCATCTGTAAAAAGGGGTCAATTCACAAAGTGTCGCAAGCACCTGAGGATGTGCGGAGATTGTGGATGTGGAGATGTGTGGCTACCACCATCCCGCTCTGGCTTCCCCAACTGTGTGCTAAATAAACGTCCAGTGGAGGTGCATGTTTGGACAAGGTGTTAGTCACACTTTGGATCTGGGTGCAGCCCGCAGTGCCAAGAATTCACCCCTCCAGGGCTTTCTGTGTGCCGGTGTCCCATATTACAGCGATGCTGTCTGTCTGCAAAAGCCATGATACACTTGTATATATGTGTCTGTCTGGAGTTTAAAATAAAACTTTTTATTTATGCACATTGACTGCTAATATTAGGAGCACTTATTACATAATCAGTTATGGTAAAGCTTCAGGATGTAATAGGTTGTCAGTGAACACACGAAGCAAGACAGATGCACTCTGAAAGCTAAATTTCACACCTTTTCATCCATGTAATCCATCCAAATTTTAAATTGCCTGTCAACAGCTTTCCTTTTGTATTTCCACTGAGGCCATAATTTATCTGGTTTCTCATACTGTTGCAACAGTTGCTGTTGAAAAGTTTCCAGTGCATCATGGGCATAAATTGCAGCTTAACTCAGAAATTTACATGTAATGTGTGTTAGATTTCAACAACAGTAACATAGTTAATTAATATAGTTTGGCCATCATGTGTAATGTTTCTGATGTATTGTGAAGGCTCCCTGATTATAATATTACTCACCCATTCCCCCAATCAGCCCACCTCCATGATTGAAAATAAATCCTGGAGGAAACCCTGCCATGTACAATTTTGACGTAACAAATTTGAATCTGAGCATACAAACGTTTTAAATGTAGTCTGTGTCTGAATCTTTTCATTTGCAATTCAAATGCGCCTTTAAAGGCCTTAAAATACTATATTCATGCTAATGGTGTCTACACTGAAACATTTCTCCAGTACCGCAGGCGTTTTTAAACTGTAAATATGACATAGACGACGTCAATTTAACAACATCCAGAAATCTCTTGGAGTGTGTGAGAGCAGGTTATGCGTGTGAAGGTGAGGTGAGTCTTTGCAGCGAGGATCATAATAAGCCATTCCAGCTGGATGACTTGATTAGAGGACTAATGAGAGTGGAGCTCGTCAGTACGCGAGCCTGTAACAGGATTACAAGTCATCTGCTCCAGCTCTACCAGCCAATGGTTGTTACCCCTCAAAACCCCAACAGTACCTGCTCCGAAGATCACTCAGCCAATCAAATATACATAGAAAAGCAAAACGACTTTGAGTCAAACCCTTTCTCTCTCTCTCTCTCTTTTTTTTGTTAATTTCAGTTCATAATTATTCTGATGTGCAATTTAATTTTTCTTCCCAACAACTGTGAATTTGACCAAGTCTCTCCAGCCTGTCTGTGTTCATTTTCTGCCTCCATGTCAACATGCAGACGTGCTAATGTGAACACTGGCTTTTTGGCGCCCTCTGCTGTCCCCTCTGTGTCACTACAACAACAGTCGGTCGTGACAGACAAGTAAAAGAAAAGAAAAATCCCTTCACCTCTGTTTACTTCTCGTCTCTGCGTTTGCATTCATCTGTCACCACTTTAAATTGATCTCGCTGTGCATGCTTCATGCTGTAGGTGGGCTGACTCCCCCCCCCCCCCGCCCGCCCGCTGTTGAACATCTCATATCCCATTAATACATCGGTGTCAAACTTCATCACTTTGGAAAAGAGAGGACAGGCTTTGTAAGTGGAATTATTTCTGAAAGGGCTTATTTATGTCACAACTGTGTTTTCAGTAAAGTCAAATCGCTCAGTGCTCTCTTTTCCTCATGTGGTGCAGTCTGGCACGAAACAGCATTATTATGACATGAAGGTAAAGTGTTTTTTTTTTATTTTTCTTTTCTTTGTTTTGGGAGAACAAATGGCTGTGATGTTTCACTTGGTGCTGACGTTTATCTGTTGTCTCTTTCTCCCTTCCTGCTCCTCGCCATTTTTTCTCTCTCCTGTCCCTTCCCATGAAGCTTTCTCTCAAGCTGGTAAGCATGACCGTATAAGTGCACGTCCCATTAGAGGCATGACCGAAGCACGCATGTCACCTCCCCCGCCCTGTAACAATTTAATAATTTACGTTTTGTTGTGCTCCTTTTGTTTTTGCTTTGAATATGAGTTAATTGTGAAATTAATTTGCAGCGACATAACAGAGAACCTGAAATTTATGTCACCTGTTTGCTATTTTTTTTCTGTCGTTTTTGTGCTTTTTCTTTGTTTACATTGTGGTTGTGTTCTTGTCCTGTCTCTCCTGAAACGTGTGTCTGTGGTGCAGATCACTCTCAATTCCCACGTCCGGAGTCTCATTGAGGTGATCACATTTACTCTGTGTTTTTACACGTTAGTCTGCCCCTGTAATCCTCACTGTCTGGAGCAAATTGCTAGATCTCCGTAACAAGTACTAATCCGACTGAAATTAGAAGGTGTCGTCTCATGTTCTCACACTGCATGCTGGTACTTTTGTAGTATTTTGTTTCTAACGCAAGAAACCTCATCTGGTGGGCATGCTTATGAAGAAAATCAACTTTATTATAATATTTCTGTGAATGAGATGCTATTTTCTTGTCTTAATAACAGAGTTTTGGGAAACACTTTTTTCTTTCTAAATGAAAAAGGAAAGAAATCAGTTCTATCCATATATTTACTATGAGGAAATTGAGTCTCTTGCTATCTTTTTACGCTCATCATGACACTTAGTCTACTGTCTTTAGTGTCACTTTTAACGTCTTTAGGACAATGCTTCCCGTTTGAAAATGGAACGAATATAGTACAATGCCATGAAATTGATGGAACTAAATTCATTGCAAACTCAAAAGACAGACCCGTTTCAAGGCCGCAGAAGACCATAAACTGAGGCTGAGGGTTACCTGATTGCTACAATAGCGTTTGTATATTAAAATGGCCTAGTTGAAGGCCAGACATAAATCTGATTGGGAATATTTCACAAGACAGCAATGCTGCTACTTTCTAGATAGACTCAAGTGGCTGAGCTATGCACACAAAAACTAACAAAATAGTTAAAGAGTGATTATGCAAACTTTTGACTAAGGGGTAACAGATAAACCACACTTTTCAGATTTTTATCAATATAAATATTTGAGCATCGCTTCTCAGTGATGAAATACTTAGTGTGGGTCTCTCACGCAGTTATAACATGACAAGCAGTGGAAGCAATCAAGGGTTATGCAAACTTGAACTACACCTGATGTCACAACTATCATTTTAATGTAACGACTTTCCCTATTTTGCTAATGAGACAAGTCCCATAATTGTCCCATTAGCAATTATGGGCATACAGGCGTCCATTCAAATCCAGGACACATGTATGCTAAAATGTGACACTGGGGAGTTGTGAGTGTTTTGTACAACAAGGCTATTGAAAAGAAAATGTATTTCCCAAAAAATGTTACCTCTTCCTTTAGGTTGACTTCAAATGGGAATCCAGTTTCTGTGAATGCTTTAGGTTGTTTGATTTCATGCAGAATGATTCAGTCCAAAGAAAATGTAAAATCACCAAATCTCTCTCTTTAGAATTAGCACATAGAGTTAAACCACATCTTAGCATTTTCATCCTTAAGATTTGTGAGCTCTAATTCATAAAGACGCATGGCGTCCCTGCATGATGACTGACGGATGTTTGTTATGTTGCATGCCGGGTTAAGTGTTGTATGGTGATACGGGGAGGACGGGTAAGGTCCCTGTATTGATCTAGCTGCTGTACTCAACCTCCAGTGTGTAGCTCCAGCTGCCTCAGAGAGACCCACCACAGGCCTTCACCTCTTCAGTCCACACTGAATCACCAGTGACAGAATCATTTAGCACTTGTGCAACTCACCTTCGGTTATAGGACACTTCTGAGTCTTGTTTCATAATATTTTACAGAGAAACAGAACTTTAGCTATTTCTCTGTAGAGAATGTTAAATTGTTTGATCCACCTGCATCTTCATCTTCTCTTCCCCTTAGTCTTCCTGGTTTAAGCCACTAGTCTGCAACTTGTGGCCAGTGGGTCTTCCACAATAGCTCTTAACTTTAGCTTGAATTTATACAGAATCAATTCATGAAATTAATGTTGAAAAATACACTACAATTACTGGTGATATTTATTTTAAATCTAGTTTTTTTTTCATCAAGTTGGAAACTGTGCTTTCTTTCATTTTTCATAAATTTCAACATCTGACATAAGTATTCTTTTCTGCAAGTTTGTTTTTATTTTTTTTTTAAACAGAATTTTTTTTTTCAAAAATGATGACACTGATAGTTATCAAAAAATATGTTATCATTAAAAAAAGAGGTCTTTTAATTTATGAAAAGTTTAGTCATCTAAAGCAGAGAACATGCCATTATAAAAAAATTCCCCAGCATTTATATCATTTTGTTTTTTTATGTTTTTATATGTATATATATATACATCATAAAACCTTCTACACTCCCTTAACCTCCACATCAGGAGAATTCGGTGCCGTCAGAGAGCTATCACACACTTTGAAACCCATTTGCCGACTCACACTCCCAGCACATTCTCAGGGTGCTAGATTAGAAGTGGCGACTGAACAGGTGAACGGCCTCAAAAGTCTTTACACAGGCAAACATCTAATCTTTAGTTCTCAGTGTGTTAAAGAGCAGCAGCAGTGCCTCCTTTTACCGAGCCGTGTAACTGGACCAGAACTTAAAAACATTTCCTTTTCTGGGGTTTGGTAAATGGACACTCTGCATCCGTCTAGACAAGGTTACTCTGGAAACAGCAGCTCACAAATAGTAGACTGCCAATTTTTTGTATTTCTTACGATATTTTATGTCCCCTTATCTTTATGTCCTCCTTTTTTTTCTGCTTCTTCTTGTCTTTTAGGGATCTGGACCAGAGGATTTCAGTCATCTGCCACCAGAGCAAAGGAGGAAGAAGCTGCAGGGCAAGATTGACGACATCAATAAAGATATTCACAAAGAGATGGACCAGAGGTTTTTGTTTTTAATTATATATATATATATATATATATATATATATATATATATATATATATATATATACACATATATATATATATATTTTTTTTTAATTTGAGTCTTTTACCCGTGCGACAATGACTTCGATTTGCTTCCTCCTTCCCAGGGATGCACTGACCAAGATGAAAGACGTGTATATAAAGAACCCCCAAATGGGCGACCCGACCAGCGTGGACCCCCGGCTGACGGAAATAGCCCAGAACATCGAGAAGCTCCAGGCTGAAGTGCAGAAGTTTGAGGTTGGTCCAGAGCCAGATGCAGCTCTCAGCTCTCTTCAGTGTTAATGTTGGTGGAGCGGGGATGTTTGTACGTTCAGAGCAGTAAAAAATGAGGCGCTAAAGCTGGTTTCGGTCCAAATGCTTACCCTGTCCATATTAGGACAAGATATAGACTGGGTGGTCGGCAACAGCCTCATTTAAAAAGGGAGCTTGTTATTTTAAATCACCATTCCTTGCAGGCGTATGCATGTCTGTTTCTACCTCTTGTCATTGCGCCAACAGAAACTTTCATACATCTAGCAGAGTTGGGTAGTGACTTGTTTATTCAGTTACATTTGCTTGAATAACTTATACTTTTGGATGCAGTTTCACTCCGCTGTACTTCCTGCTTTTACCTACATCATTTTTTTTATGAGGTATCACTACTCTTGTGTAAAATTTCTGCATAGTGCTCTTGAGTCAATACATCTGTTTTTCAGGGGTGGTTAGCGGAAGTAGAGGAGAGGATGCCTTCGAAGAGCGACTCACACCGTAGAAGCGGACTTTACGAGACTCAGAGCAACATAGCAGTGAGCAACAACTGTGCGCAAGACAGAGAGAGGTATGGCATATTTTGACAAACATGAGTCCTGTGCCCAACAAAAATCAGACGAAGCTCTTCTTTGTGTGTGGAAGGAAGCTGCAAATGTTTTCACTGTATGTTTAATGTGTGTGTTGGCCCCTGAGCAGCCCGGACGGCAGCTACACAGAGGAGCAGAATACAGAAACTCAGGTTAAAGCCAACATCAACCCCAACCCCAACACCATCCCCACCACCATGCCGGACGACGAATTCGACGATGACGACGAGCCGCTGGCCACCATCGGCACCTGCAAAGCGCTGTACCCTTTCGAAGGTAACACGCTGCTGTGAAGTATAGGATATATTTAGGGGATACACACACATGACCGGTATTGTCTAGATACTGGGAAAGGCCTGCCATTTGTGGAAATGATCTAAGAAGTCACGATTTCTTCGACTGAGGAAACGGAGGGTGTGATGTTTCTGTGGAAACGTGTGGAGGAGGGATGTGAATAGAAAGTACAGACACTTTTCTCTTCCTCTTTTCAAACCATCCTGAGCTGTTTGGTACAAAAATCCCACTTGGTAAAGGTGAAGTTTTATTGGCTTTCTTTCACAAGAAGTGTTAAATTCTTCCTCAGAGTGAAAAAGAAGCTTGTCGTCTGAAAAAAAAAGATGCATCTGCTTGTAGTTGGTCTGTATTATAGACTGCTGGCATAAAATCAAAAAGAAACTTTTTGCTGTTCATATTAATGGTTACTTTTATTTTACGTTTCAAACGTTCTGCGTTTGTGTGTGGCAACCAATTCTAACCCTTCATGCCTTGCAGCAGTCCCATTGTGCTCTCTTATTGAAGTCCAGCATTTCAGCAGTAAATTGCCTTTGTTGCATTTTTGGGGTATAACATAAAGTTGCCAAAGCTTAACTTTCTCCACAAATATCGATTTTCAAAGACATTAAGGTCAATTTGGAAAAATGATGTGGTTTAGTTCCATAAAAGCCTGAAATGCACAGCTGTTCGCTAAGCTGTTCTTACTAACTTTCAAACCTCTCCGCATTGCACATGTATTTATAGGACTTTTATGTCCTATAAATACCACAAATTATGAGGAAAATTAGACATAAACATAAAACTGCATCATAAATAAATCTTAAAAACTGAGGCTTTCATTTGTTTTCACCCTCCTTTGATTGTGATAATGCTAAATAAAATCAAGTTCCACATTTTCTTTGTAACTCACCCGATTAGACAATAGAGTTCGAAACATGAGCATTCGATGAATTCATTATTAATTGGAGAGATAACCAAGACTGTTTTAGGAATTGCTTTTTCTATTAAAGGCTGCAGAAAACGTGAAGAGGGATTAGAGATTTAAAATGACAAAATGGTTCAGTCAAAGTCCAGACCTACAGTGTGTCCCCACACTTTTCAGATTTTTATTAATGAGAAATGTCATTAATGCCTGATAAATTAGAAGCTCTGGCATAAATGAAAAGGTGGATGTTATGCTGCCAGTTTGGTTTTCCCCCATCTCATGCACAGAGAGCCGTTTTGTGTTGATTACTTTATTAATGTTTTCGGCCGCCTTTTCAACTAGACGCAGTTTGCCGTTTTCCTGCAAGTCCTCAGGCTTACAGGAAGTGACGTCCACTTTGTTTCTCTCCTTGCGCAGGTCATAACGAAGGCACCATCGCCGTGGCCGAGGGCGAGCTTTTGTACGTCATAGAAGAAGACAAAGGAGACGGCTGGACGCGGGTTCGGAGGAACCAGGATGAAGAGGGATACGTCCCAACGTCCTACATTGAGGTCAATCTGGAACCGAATGCCAAAGGTGCTATGACGTACATCTAACTCGGCAAGCTCACCCTGAGACAGATTGTTTTTTTTTGTGTTACTTTAATCAATATCTTTCCATTGACTGGGTCAAAGATTATAGATTGTTAATAGCCGCTCGGAAAGACGCACTTCCCGTCTCCGTAGAGGGAAGGACCAATCAGATTTGTCTGCTGTGCCTCATGACAGATGAAGCAGGGAGCGTGTCTTTTAATTCTGAGGTCCGTTGTGTGAAGACTCTTGAGGACAAGGCACACATTTTCACTGCAGTGCCACCTAGTGGTCATACAACACGGGTTCATGACACCTCCAGTCAAAGCTGTGGGACAAATCAGCTGCTGACAATGATCACTGATACATTTCAAACACAAACCTCTTGATTACACTTGAGCTAGAGTCTTAAATGTTACAATATGGACTTGAATTATCATAGTATTATGCAAGGGGTCTGATCCACCACCTGAAAGACCGTCTGAATCGTGTGTTTTTGTAACTCGTCGCACCCAAACGACAAACATGCTCAATGTGCAATCATACAAAACGCTGTCGAGCTCTGCTGTATTAATTTTATGTCTTCAGTTACTTTTTGTAGGCCGATAAGTAATAGAAACACAATAACAACTCACCTCTAAAAATGTTGCATGCCTTTAATGTTATAGATTCTGGCACATCAGGAAATGTAAAACCAATTATTGTTCCCAATGAGGGATGATTTTCTAAGAATAACAATCCAGTTTACTGCGTTTTTTTCTTTGATTGCTCTTTTCCACATTCTCGATTCACTTTTTGATAAGTGTATTGTTGGCCTGCTCTGGATCTTTCTCTCCAGGCCAGTGGTAAAGGAATAAAGGAAAAAGAAATCTCAGCTCTATGGTGAGGCTGAGCTGATGTTGCGACTTTTAAAAGCTCAGTTGTGTCTTGCATGGGTCTTCTAGCAACACCTTCTGTCATTCCACTTCACTGCCACACAATATTTAGCGCAACCTAACAGACTCACTACTTCTCAGATTAGTACAAAGGCCCCAGTTTGGCTTTCACAGGGTTTGTTATAGCACTTTCTTTACTTTTTTTTTTTTTTTCATCAGACAGTTTTTGAAGAGTGTTGCATGCTGCAGCATCTGTGAGTGTTTTGTCATGACTTGGAGTTAGCATGTTGTGACAAAGTGCGATGGCTGCTTACTAGCATTGCCTAGTCAGACAACCGCTAAGTAAGGTGATGATTATAGCTTTACGGACAAATCTTTGGTCGATCTACAGACATTCAGTGCCTTGTTCAAAATCAAGTCATACTTTTTCATCCTGTTTCGCATTTTTATCATGTTATCACCAGAGAATTCAAACTTTAAACACAAAGTAGTGTTTGAAGTGATAATTGCTTTTGCATTTATATTCAACCTCCCTTGACAACACTTGAGGCACGTTTTTTGCAGTCAATTTGAGTTAAAAGTTTGGGATTTTTTTTCATCTAGTTCACAAAATCTGCATATTAATTAAATACATTAAAGTTTGTGGTGGTAAAATGGTAAAATGTGGAAAAGCTGAATGGGTATAAATGATTTTGCAAAGCACTATAGATTATAACACACTATTATTACTTTCAGCAGTTTCACATATACCACAACGCCTCTTCTATCCAAATTTAAATATTTGGAATCTTCGAGTTTTTCCTTTAAGACTAACTTTCTTCTTTTTTTGTCATCTTTTTTTTTTTTGTTTCTTTGTTCGTTTGTGTGTTCTCCTTTCAAATTGCAGATTCCTAAAAGTGAGAGGCTGGCAGAGGAATGGCAGGGCAAGCAGCCGCGGAGAAAACCACGGTGTGAAAAAGTGAAAGACGGGCTCAATCTTTTAAAAAAAAAAATCTGAGAAAGAGAGCGATGGATGATCAGAATGCCGCTGAAATTCACAACACAAACATTTTGTCAAAAAAAACCTGTTCTTTTTAATTATCAGCAGCGTCGAGCTTCCTCCGCTGAACAAAAGATCAGTTTTAGCTCTCGTAACGTTCTCCATTTTAACTCCCCCCTACCACCACTCTGATGACAGTACACAATTTGATCCTTGGTGTTTTACAGCAGAGCTTTGCTTCTTAATGTCACTAACTCTGCTTGCGGCCATGAAGAGGCTTTTCTTTTGGCATTCTCGCTCCTAACGCCCCTCGCTGCCCCTTGCCCGGCTCTTTTTTTCTCTCTCTCTGTCTCTCTTCTGCTTAATTCCTTGTGACGCTCACAATTACTGGAAAGCGTGTGGTCAGAAACAGGACGGAAGAGCAGCAGGAGCCAGAAGGGGAACGTTAAAACACAGCCTCACGAAGCCGTAAAGTTCCTAAAACAAGTCATCCCAGTCTCATCGCCTTCACCCTTCACTCCTTAAAAACGTCTTTTTAAAAAAATATTCAACCGCTCATTTTGCAGGTTTCATTCAAGCTGAAACAGAAGGATGTGCTGATCACCTTTTTTTTTTTCTGCTTTCTTTCTTTGTTTTTGTGTTGAACCACGTTCAGGTTCCCAGGATCAGCTGGAGGCCCGTCACTCTCATCCACTGTACTCATGTCTTGCCACTGGTGTCTGTTCCTCTCTCTGACCACACCCTTTCGTTCTCACTCTCCTTCCTGCCCCCCTCGTCCCCCACTCAGGCAGCTCAGGCTACCCGTCTCACAGCTGCTTCGAGCCTCCCCCCGTCTTGCTTTTTAAAAAAAAAAATTATTTTATTTTTTTAATTTGCTAAGGCTCGGGGCGTGTGGTGTGGTGCATGCTTGCCCTGTCTTCCTCCTCGCCCCCCTCTGCTGGCGGCTCGAAGAAGCGGCTTCCTCCACCACCACCCCACCCACCCTGTCCGTCCTGCTGCCGCTGCCTCGAGCCTTTCTGTTCAGTTTAACCCTCATTGCCTGGTCACACTGTTTAAATTAACCTGAATGCTACTGTTTGGGTTCAGTGCCTGTGGTTTTTTTAAAAACTTTTTTTAATATATATATTTATGTACATTTCCTTTTTGTTTGTTCAAAAAGCATGTTTTTCTTGTTTTTAACGGCAAATACGCGATCTTTCCCGCCTCCTTCTTCCAGTGCTCCAAAGTGTAGTCAGGAGCCATCTTGTTGTTTTCTGACTGATCTTACATATAGATAGGTTACGTTTTGTGAATTCTTGTCTTTTTCTATTTGTTTGCAAAAACTTAATGCGACTTGTGGCTAGTTTACAGTCCAGTATCCTGTGGGAAATGTCTCCGCTTGGTTTAGGCAACTCAGAAAAAAAAAAAAAATCCCCTCTTCTACTGTAAAAGAAAATTTACTGTGATGAACATTTTCTTGAGACTGAAGTGTAACAACAATACAGATCACCTGAATTGAGCCTTAACCGGGTGGGACGAAAAAGATGTAGTTGTATTTGTTTAATACCATGAAAGTGTCTGTAGGCATGGGCCGGATTACTGGAGTCAAGGAATGCTGTGGCTTTTGAGATCTGCAAACATTTAGCAACATTTCAACGGTTTAAACCCCTTTCAAACACTGAAGTTCTCTCCAGATATAATAAGCATCTCTTCTCCACCATGTCCTCCAGGCTGTCTCTCATCTGACTGGGAGAGTGCTACTGCTGTTTTTCTCACACTTGTCAAGCAGATTCGGTTCGAACGGGGACAAAATGTGGAGCATTTGTTAAATTTTCTGCTGGTGCGGTTCGCCTTCACACTGCACTGTCGAAAGAACCAAACCTGTTTACCTCCTCGCCTTTGGCGGTGCTGCTCCACGAGTCACTGAAGGAAATCACACGAAACCTCTGAAGACGTGAGCGCAAATTCTTCCTTCACAAAATGTAAATAAAAATGGAATGGCATCAGATTTTAGTGGCTTAAGTTCATTTCTGTTTTTGCTAAAAGACCAAAAGCCATTTCTCCCGCTATCGCAAAGGCTTGTGCATTTGGTTTGGTTTTTATTAGTACATGTGCATCGGGGTCAAGAATGTGGTATTGTTCATGTTTTAGGACCGGGTATGTTACTTTTGCTGTCAGATCAGGATCGTTTATTCATATTTACAGATCAGCTGACCCCCAAAATTTCTGAGAGCCTAACCAAGTGGCCATAGAAGTATTTTCTGAATTCATTTCACTTTGAAATTTAAGCACTCGACACGGCGAGGTGATTCTGTAGCTGTGTCACACGTGGGATTTGCAAATCACACAAGAGCTACGTTGTGTTTTCAGCGTCAAATACACAGTAAGGTATATTTTACTCCACTGAAATAAAAGCTAGATAGTAAGACATGCCATACGTTTAGGTTACATCCTGTCTGAAACTCTGACCGACCCATGCCTAACTCTCAGACTGGAAGACTACAACTTTTTCCCCACATTCAACGGCACATAGTGTACAACTTTTTTTATTATTATTATTATTTGTTAATATTTTTTTTTTGTCTTCGTGTCTTTTTTGTTTCGTTAGAATATTCTGTTTTTCCCGTCCCACCTAAATGAGACTCCTCTTAACAGCAAAGACAAAATCCCACTGTTCTGTCCCGTCTCCACCCACCGCAGGTTTCCATAAACACTTCCCACGTGGAGGAGCGTCAAGATCTCCCCCCCCCCCGAGTTTATTTTGTTTCTGATAAACGTCGAGAGCAAAGTGGCAGATTTACGGCAGCGATCTGCCTCACCACAAATCTTTTAGCCCTCAGAATCACCTGCCTGTACAGAGGATGTGACATGATGGAATTAGAGAGAGTATATATGAATTTATTAAAAAGGAAAAAAAAAAGTTTTAAAAGGAAAACATCTATTTTAACTATATGGACAGTCTTACCGCAGATTTATTTGCTTCGACTAGTAAGACTTCTTTTCCTTTATGAGACCTACCAAATGGTGTGTTTTTTGCACTTTTTCATTTGTGTTCCATTTGGTGGCCCCATGCTTGTTGTTTTGGAGCACTGAATACTTTGTATTGTGTTTAATTTTATGTGCCAATTAAATATGCCTGAAAAGAAAGAACGGTGTGCGCGTTTTTCCTTTCTCTTGGCGATTCGAATACGATCGCCAGTCATTACTGCACTAGTGTGCATCTACAAGCGTGTGTTTGAGAAATCACTCTTTTATACGCAGATAAAGTCCGATTGTTAGGCTTTATGACGTGAAACAAAAAAACAAACAAGGGATTATTCCCAGGAATAAAACTTCAGAATACAGAAACCATATAAACTGACTGGGTCTACTACAGACAATAGTGTGCATCACTTTAATACACAAAAGCATCTTACTGTGTCAAAGCAGGCTTTGCAACTGGACAGCTGATGGAAACAGAAATGATTGTAATGCAAACCTCGGCTGCAGTTCATGGGGCGACCAGCAGGGGGGAGACTTGTTCCACCTGAAACTCCTCAACTTTTAACAAGTTCTGGAAAAGTACACGTTGTTCCCCAAAACTGTTTGAGAAAAAATACAAAAAAATTAAGTTGTATGTTTAGAAACATCAGTATAAAACATGAATCTGACATAAAAGAAAATAAGAATCCTATGTGACCTGTAGATGTGTCGGTTTCTTCTGACGTTTGCCATATGGTTGTGTTTTACAGGAAAAAAAAAATATTCGTTTTAATGGTATGTCATGGCATAATATACCACACTGCATACAAAGAGTGTTTTCTGTTTACTAAGCTGAAGCTTCGGCACCCAAATGAAAACATATTCTCCACAACGTACGACAAATCCCACCACGCTCTCGGTTGGCCTCATCAAGGCCTTTGAAACCTGACAAAAGTGGCTCAAAATGGCTGAAATAAGATAATAAATTTGTCCCAATAAATCCTCTAGAGCAGAACAGAGCCTCCCCTCTCCAACGTGATTCAGAGCGACTTCCACTCTGTGCTCATAATTGGTTTATTTGGCAGCGAAAGCCCTGCTCATCAATTAACGTTACTTGGCTTTTCATCGGCACTCCTCAGGCCAGCTTGATGAAAACTTTATTGATACAGCAAAACCTTTGCGAGATCATTTTCCTTCAGAGCGGCGCTTTAGTTTAAAAGTGCTGACAGAAACCCAAATCAGATAAAACACACAAAAGAACGGATAACTTCACAACACATCACTGCAA